ATCCCAAAGCACCTTTGGAGAAGAAAGAAGTTTTATTAATATGAAAAATAATTCACTATACAAAGAGGGATGGAGTCTAATATTTATATTGTACCTTTGAAAGTACCACTAACATAGATGTAAACACATAAGGGCATATTTCCCAACATGAAAGTATACATGGTTTGGTTATTAAATCTTCTCGACAGTAATTCTCATGTAGAAAAAGTAGTAAATCTCAAGTTCTTTTCACACTGACAACTAATTCTACCTATTTATGTTCTTATTGTCTTTCACTTAGTTTCATATATGGATGAATATTAGTCTAGTTTTTTGAGTTATTTTTCTGAGGCAAAGTGAAGTTAGTGGGTAAGGAGAAACAAAATATTGGATTTCATCTGCACAAATTCTATTATATTCTCATTCTTCTCTTTGCTATGAAGAAAATTTATATTTTGTATGTCTTCATGTAGGAATGGAAGATGAATTTATATTTGAACTATTCTTGTAGGGATATCTCAACTTTCATATCACCTAGTTTGCACAAAGATTAACATGTGAGCATGTACAAAGATCATTTGATGCAAGGAGTACAATACCTTATATTTTCTTCAAATATTGCATAAGAAGACTATCGTACTCATCTTCAATCCTACACCATATTTTATAATCAGATTTTTTTAAAAAAATCAATCGTCTCAATTTTTTTATATTTTATGTTTTATTATTCACTTTTGTTATTTGACACATCATAAGTCACTTAGTTTTGGTTGTTTTCATACTAGTTAGAGAGATTCATAGGTAGTTCAAGCCCAACAATTGTGTATCCTCAACAATCTCTTATTTATTGGGTTTTCATTATTTATTAACAAATAAATATATTAATATATTATGTCCAAGATTAGATTTTGTCAAGATAAATTAACATCAATGTGATTTATATTCTTTCTTAGATTCTTTTATGAAACATTCAACTATCTAATTTACCATATGTTCTCAATCTTTAGGTCTATTAAGAAGAAAGAATCATAGGAAATTTAGATCATTATAATTACCTTATGTCCTTTTAAACATTGATACTTGGATGTCCATGATCCAATTGTTATATTATATGATAAGACTTAAATTAGTAGTTAAAGTGACATTTGTAAGAACTTTGAATGTGTACAAATAAAGGGCTAAGGTTTTCACTTTAGATTTGAGAAATTAACTTTGTTAGAGTTTCCTTTGTTTGTTGACACATTCTCATGTGCCACACGCACCTATATGTGCAAGACATACAAATTGTGCATGCCTTACCTACACACCTCATTTCACGTGTCTCATGTGCTCACTTGGCCTTATGTCAATTGTGAGGTTCTAAAAGTGCCACACTTGTCCTATAAGTCATCATCAACATTTGGGATGTAGAATTCACCAAATGTTTTTCGATGACCCTCTTCCCTACCTTTTGTACATAAGTACAATTTTCAACCAGCTTTCATTTCCATGCTACACCTATGGTGTTTTCTACTACGAATATTTTTTTTAAAAAAGGAATTATAAATTAGATTATAAGAAAATCACATAAAATGTTTAGTGGAATTAAGTTGTTTCCATGGGGATGGTAAGACAATAAGAATGCTTAATTGTTATATGTTGTTAGTTGATTCTAAAAGTATGTACTAAAATTTATAGATTTTTTTCAAAAGATATTAGCTTTGCAAATAAAATGCAGTCCTTATTTCATTAAAAGTAACTTCCCTTCCCCTAATGTTGTGAGTCTATTATGATTGACTAATTATATCTTGTAAGATTTTGGTTGTGAGAAAATAAAAAGATAAACTTTAAAAAAGGAAACAAAAATACTTCTCAAGGCCATGCCTGGGGAATTATATCAGATTATACAAAGGACAAAAACTAATTTCTCTCAAGGTTAACATATGAATTTAAGTAGAATTTATGAAATGATTCTAAAATCTATTTTGATGTTTTTAGTTCTATTTTATTAACTTTTGATTAGGTTCCAATGGTCATTTTTAATCATTTTCCCCTAGTTATCCTACAAAAATGTTACATTAACACTACACATGAATGATTACATGGAGAAAATAAATGATATGTTGAAGGAATAACTTTGTCTCTTTCTCAAAGCAAACCTAAAGCATTGGGTCAGCATGATAAAGATCTATATTTTCTTTTATTACCTTCACTAGAGCCAACAAAAATGGCAATTGTCATTCTAGCTCACAACAAGGTAACAATAATTAACCCCACTATAGCTTGCTAGGGAGACCAAGATGTTGCAAGGTACTAGTTTACTCAAGCCAATAAGTATCATTGCATTGATGTGGCATGCCAATGACAAGGATGACAAAAAAGTAGTGTGAAGAGAGGATCTCATGACCCTTGCTCAAGGAATGAGAATTCGATACCAAAATCTCAAAGGGCATGTGGCTATGAATGTGTGCGCAATAAGAGAACCAACCTAGTGCAGCATGAACAAAGGAGCACCATGCACATGGGGTGCACAATGGTGTAGCATGACATATTAACATAGATGCAGTCAACATGAGGAACATGAGGGTCTCCCATGGACCTCATGTCTCACTAGGACTAGTTGGCATGAGGTGACTCAATGATCTCACAATATGATATGACATCAATATGACAACATTATATAGGTACAAGTAGGGGCACAAATCATAAAGTGGCACAATAAAACTGCACATGAGGATGCACATATTGTGGTGTGCAATTAAGGGTACACAACACGGCATTATATGAATGTATGTTACACAATGGTAGGGGCAACCATGATTGCACATGCGTTAATGTTCAAAAATATGTTCATAGGTTTACATGTGATAAATCAAATTATGTTGACATAGTATGTTGGATTTTTGGTCAAACTTTGGTCAAGAAAGAGATTAGATTGATAAAATGTAATCATTTTTCTGTCTAATTTGCTTCTTGCAATTATACTTATTTTTTACTAAAATATTTGTGAGTACGAAGGCCCACTATAAGTTTCTTGGCCTTCCCGCATCTCTTGGCCTTTCGCTTTCTTCAACCCTCTGTGTCTCTTAGTCTTCCCATGTCTCTTAGTATTCGTCTTCCTCTAACTCTTTGTCTTCCTCTTTCTCTCTATAAAGGGAGATATGTACCCCTCTTATTTTCTTGAGCAATACATATTCTATTTGTGTCCATTGTATTAGAGCTAGGTTCCGCTCCACCTCATCTATGATACCATCTCCATGTTTCTTCTTGATTCCAAGCGTGCGTCATTAGAGTAAGCCGGCAGCGTCCTTTTCCTCTCGATGGTGTTAGCCTCTCGACACTCGTGCACCTACCCCCCTCCACACGCATCGACTCACAACACTCCATGCATTGTTAGAGCAAGTTGGCGGTGCCCTTCTCCTCTTTGCGGTGCTAGTCTTCCGATGCCTTGAGCGTCACCTCCCAGTGCTCAACGCATCACCTCCCGATGCCTCATGCGACGACTCCCAACACCCCGAGTGCTACCTCCCACGGCCTTGAGCATCATAACCTCTTGTTTCCAACCGAATCTCCTAGCTAACAGATCTCTCATTTTCAGCCAATAGATCTCCAAATGACGACTCTCCGCATCGTGGGATGAGACTATTCATCTTCTCACCCGAGGACTTCTCCCTCGCACCACGACCGCCTGGCATCATGGCCAATTCAGACTGTTTTGTACCTCCATTGAACACACCGATCGATGTCGGCACGACCTCAATTGATTCACTTGCAGCTACCCATGTCCTGCCCACTAGAGTTCTGACTCAGCTCCAAAATCCGTGTCTGGTGTTTGATGAAGAATGTACGAATTACATTCAATGGGCACATAACTTTCACCATTTTCTCAGTGTTCAGGGGTGTTGGTAATACAATACTGATCTTCCTACTTCCAAGAATAATCTTCGTTGCCCTGCATGGACAGTTAGAGACAAGATCATATAGATGTGATTCCTTAAACTTGTTGCTCCCGTTCTCTCTGCCAACATCGAATTTCTCAATATAGTTAAAAAAATGTGGGATACTCTTGATAGAGCTTTTGACACTAAGGACAACATTACCTTTATGATGGATATTTTTGAAAATATCATGAAGATGCACAACACTGCCTCTCATTTTCATGTCACATTTCTTGTCATGTAGAAGTTTAGTAATTTACTTGATTAGTACTAACCCGTTACAATGGACATGACCACTCAACGACAATACCGCTAGGAATTTCTACTAACTGCATATCTTGATGCGATTGATCTAACTCTGGCCTCTCAAGTATGAAGCTCTATATTAAATGACAGGACCTCTTTGATGTTAGTAGAGACTTTCAACGTAGTCAAATGAGTAGCTCTTTTCGTCTCCACATCGAATGTAGTATCGTCAAAGATATCATCACTTGTCTCTGAAACCTCAATTATGGTAATTACTACTCAAAAAATAAGATGAGGAAGGAGTCCTACCCCTCCTGACAAGAAAAAGAATAATAGTTGTAGAGCATTTTCGGGCCAGAGATACCTTCCTCTATATGAATATTATGGGAGGATCAATCATTGGGCGACCAAGTGCTACAAAAAGTTTGACTATTTATTTGATTGGCCGAGCCTGCTTCCTTAGGCGGGTTCTATGCACACTCTGCCGCCTCTTCGTTATTGGTTACCACCTCTTCACCCTCACAAAGGTCCTCTTGGGGACCAGCTTCGACTTTTGCACAGATAACTAGGATCTCTGTCTCGCGAAAAGTATGACTAGTGGATGCGCTCCAAAGAGGTGGCTTCGACTTTCCGCACATTGCACCACACATCACACCATGCTTCATCTTCCAATGTAGGTACTACTTTTTTAACATCCACTACTAAGTTTGAGACTTGGATTATTGATTCAAGAGCATCTGCTCATATGTCAAGTATCTCATCTCTCCTTTCCTACCTCCAAAATCTGATCTATCTCAAAATTATCACGGTCATCTTTATTCTGTCACCAGAAAAGGAGATGCTAAATCTACTTTTTCCATGTACCTATTCAACGTCCTCTATGTCTCTAACCTTGATATCAACCTCCTCTCGTACAATTACCAAAACTTTTTATTACTCTGTTCAATTTTTTCATTATCATTGTATTTTTCAGTATTTGCAGACCGAGACACAGATTGATTTGGGTAGAGAGATTGGTTGAGGCCTCTATGAGCTTGTTCTAGACACTTCATCTATCGGTCTCTCATGCCTACTATTTATAAAAACTTATTCACTTATGTGACATCGTCGTTTTGTTTATTCAAATATTTTGAAATTACATGAGGCTTTACTTAGACTTTCTCTATCTAATTTTGAATGTGAATCTTGTAAACTTGAAAAATATTTTCATTCAACATACCACCTACACGATTCCCTACCATACGACTAGTTGTTCGAATTGATTCATTGTGATGTCTGGGGGCCCACACGCATCACTTTGATTTCTGGTTTTCACTACTACATGATCTTAATTGATGATTTCTCATGTGCATCATAGATCTATCTCTTCATAGATCAAACTGCAGTCCTTTATCTTTGAGAATTATTTCAAGAAGTACATGCCCAGTAGAACACCATGTCAAAGATCTTTTGAATGGATAATGATCTCAATTTACACAATTTGTAATTCAAGAGCTATGTAAATCACTTGAGATTATTTATTAAATAATATGTTCACATACGTCCCAACAAAATGGAGTGACAGAATGAAAATACTGACATATCTTGGACATGACTCATATCATCATCCTTGAGATGGGGGTTCATGATTACTTATGGGCCGATGCTGTCCTCACATCCACCTACCTTATTAACCGCCTGTCGTCATCTCCCTTAGGTAGTGAAGTTCCCCTTCATCATCTCAACCCTAAAGATGACCTCTTCTCTCTACCCTCATAAGTTTTTAACTATGACATTTGTACATGACCACACCCTAAATAAGTCTAAGCTTGTCCCTCGTGCACGAAAAGGCATCTTCGTTGGCTACTCACGAAGACAAAAAAGATATCGTGTCTACCTTCCTTAAGAGCAAAAGTATTTGATATCAGTGGATGTTATTTTTATGAGTACATATACTTTGGAATGCTCTTCTCGACGCTTCAATTGATACCCCTACTAGAGGACATCACATCTTCATCATCAAAACTTCACTAGATGTCACTATCTCTTTATCATTACCATCTTTATATCTTAGCCCACTTCAGTCTATTATATTGCCTTCAAAAGACTCATTGACAGTCGCTCTTGGACCAATCTCTCTGCAAGTACTTAACCAATTGACAACGCTATCTACAAATTCGTCACCTCTAGACGATCTTCATATGCCTATTACTCTCTAAAAAGGTACACCCTCCTACGCTCTTCAACTCATTTCTTCTTCTATCTCCTATGATTGCCTTTCTCTATCTTATCAGGCTTTTACCCTATCCTTGGCTACTGAATTAATAACCAAGTCTCACGTGGATGTTATGGCGGTACCTTATTGGAAGGCAGCCATGGATGAGGAATATGTGGCCCTCATCCATTAGAGAACTTGGGAGATCATTCCTTGATCGCTTTGTGCTAACATTGTCTCTTGCAGATAGATTTACACCCCTAAGTATTTTCCAGATTACATTATTCATCGCTATAAAGCTCGACTAGTGACACACGACTTTTCTCAGTAGTATGGCATCGACTACGAGGAGACCTTTTCTCTCGTGATCCATCTAAACTCGATACATATCATTATTTCTATGGTAGTCAACCTTGATTAACCTCTACACTAGTTAGATGTCTCCAATACTTTTCTCTATGGAGGTCTCAACAAAGAGGTCTATATGGAGCAACCTCTCGGCTACATGATCAAGGTGAAATCTGTCAAAGTGTGTTGTCTTCGTAAAACCATCTATGGTCTCAAATAGAGTCCTTAAGTTTGGTTTACCAAATTCAGCACTCAGTGTGATTTCTCGGCATGCGAAGTGGAGCTTACAATTTTTCACAAGACCACTACAAACAGATGCATTATTTTCGTTGTCTACGTAGAGGATATGATTGTCATGAGAAGTGATATGACTAACATTTACGATATCAAGATGTTTCTTCAAGAACATCTAGATATTTGAGACTTGGGGACTCCCAAGTACTTCTTAGGCATAGAGTTTGCCTAGCACTCGGGGAAGATTGTCCTTAACCAATGTAAGTATGTACTTGATCTTTCGTAAGAAATGAGACTACTCGAATGCAAGTTGCATGCATCTCCGATCAAAAGTCGGCCAAATTTTTGGGACTCGACCTCGTCTCTCCTTGTCAATAGTTTTAATAAGATTGAATGTCATGATCACAAGTGATAATTATTAGGCTCAACCCTATTAAAATTTTATCCAAAAATTCTTTTCTAAACTCACAGCTCTAAAAGTCAAAACCACTATTAGCAAAGACATCACTCTATCAAAAGATTATTTCAAATCACATTTCTCATAATACAAATAACAAAAGTATGACCATGAAATGCTTTCAGATAATCATGTTGTCTTATGATTTGTTTAAAATTCTGATGAACAAGATGATACTTTTGAATTAATTTCGTTCATCCTCTTTGGATGAAGATGTTTTCCTTTTGATCTGATGTGGATGGTTATTGAATGGTTGATTAATGCTCCTGAATGTAATGACTTCATACAATTTGACTAGCCAACAAAGTCATAATTTTCTTCAGATTTTTCTACAAAAAAGCTCAATACAATATTTCCCTTTTGTCTTGTTGTAGAACGTTAAAAGAAATCACACAAACGACAAAACATCCTCTTCCATCTTGTTGTAGAACCGTAGAAAGTCTTTACAAAGAACAACCTCTCTCTCTCTCTCTCTCTCTCTCTCTCTCTCTCTCTCTCTCTCTCTCTCTCTCTCTCTCTCTCTCTCTCTCTCATACTCATCAATCCTCAAAAGTCAATCAGATCCACAGAATCTTCACCCCATTCACTACCCAGGCAACAAGAGCAGCTCCCGTATGCCTTCACAGACCTGCAAGGGAATGCCATTTTTAGTAGAGTATGCGAATTCCATTGGAGGATTGAACTGTAAGATAATTTGAGATCATACAAAACCAAAACATTAATAAATTAAATAAAAATAAGATTGATCAACAATAAAGTCTGATTTGTTTCTCCTAGGCTCGAGCAGGAACCCATGTGGTGAGTTGGGACCCACAGAGGACTAAGAAATCATATGAAGGTACCCCCGCAAGTGCATTTGTTTTTCTCTTAAAACAATAATCATAAAGAACTATTCCATCATTCATCCAGAAGTTCAACAAGTGTTGAAGAACAAGAGAGAAGTGATTTAATTGTGGTATATTATGTGGGGATGGTTGTAATGAAAGAGCATAAGCTTTGAAGATTATGGTGCATTAAAGAAGCAGAAACGGTCTATGAGAAAGAGCTTGAAGGAATTAGTATGCTTAATTGGGCAAACCTACAAAGAGCAAAACCAAGACCCACAAAGTGCAGAAACATGCTTACCAATTTAATACGAGCTTTGATATTCGCGATCAACTGGGTACACTCTTCGATTTGCCTATCAAGTAGTGAAAAAAATGCAAATCCAACATGGCAATCAAGTGATTAATGGCCAGAAATATACGATTTAAGAGTGATTAAATCATTATGTTGACTGGCTGGGCTGACCCCAGGACCCAAAAAATAATTGGGCTGCATTATACAACACTAATATATAAATCTATAAAGTACTTGCATGTGAGATGAATGGCCGACAAAACAATGATATCATATGGTGTCAGGTATAAATGAAAATATGGGACCTCACAATGGAGAGGGCATGCCTGGCTATTCTTGCTTCCTTGACTGATATGAACTCCAGAGCTTCAGACCAGGTAAACTCAACATGGAAACCAAGCCCGACATCTACGAATATGTGACGAGTGTCTGGCCTGTGGAGAGGAAAAAAACAGAATGAAACACCATAATGACTCCCTTTACAAAATATTCTAGACTCAAATTGAGCAAAATATCCAGAATTATGTCTATGTGCTTGAAGTTGGAATGTGTAAGAGTCAATATTTCGAGAGATTTACATTCATCTAAGGATTAATTTCTATGTTCCAGCAATCATGCAAAGGTGGGGACAGCGTTGAGCTAGAGTTCGAATTGCTTTCATTACAAGGAGAAACAAGAGACTGTCTGAATTCTAAATTTAAATAACAATATCAGCGTAGAAAAAGACAGAAGAGTTTATGGGCATACACATCTGCTTGCAGGTAAACCTCAGAGCCAATGTTGACCATTGTTCGAAGTGAAGTAACTCCATTTTTCTGTAGATTTTCGATATTCTTCTTCAGATCAGAGCTGAAAGGTGTGCAGATGAGTTAAGAACTAACAGCCACGAGCACTCAGATATCAACATAGGTATATATATATATATATATCAATATCTAGAAGATGATCAGCAGAAAAAACTGAGAAAATTTGCACAAACGCAAAATATGTTTAGGGAAACACATACATGGCAATGTACAACACCAGGTTTGCATAACAAAGCAGACCTCAAAAGGATACAAAACTCTCTGTTCTCGAAACAGCTTGTCCCTGCATAATTTCATCAGAAGAGATAAACCCTCTTATTAGCATTGTGTGAATAGAAGAAAATAATTCCTTAAAAAAAACGAGGATTTAAGCTGGAGACGACAATAGGGGGGGGGGGGGGTAATTCCTCCATGCAAAACCCAGTGTGAAAGCTAAAATGCTAAGGAGAAGGTGCATGATCTAAAAATAAGCGTGCTCTATTACATCTCCTCTTTTCGATAGAAGCCAGCTGACAGATAATGAGATCGAAAGCAAAGAAAAATTAAAACAGAGAGAGAGGGGGACAACCTTTGGGCAATGGCAAGGACTAGATCAGGCTTTAATCTGCCATCTACAAATTCTTCAAACTTTTGAATCTTTTGCTGTCGGATTCTGTCCATTCTTCTCCAACCAGCTAGGTGAAGCCTGCATCCTGGGATTATTGAGTACTAGGAGAGTCCAAGGAAGTCTACTCACGCAAAAAGAATCATGCTAATCGGCGATTGAATGAAGAAGGAAAATCGAGATCCAATTTATAATCTCGCCATTTCCATTTGGGAGATATTCTTGGAAAGACAGGATTAAGACACTGTAGGGGATGCAGTTTTCTGCAATTAGAGCCCGGAGAGGACAATTGTTTCATCTCTATTGTTTACCGAATCCAATCGACAGCACAAAAACATATATATGTCAATATATATATATATATATATATATAGATATATATATGCTAAACAATTTGACCCCTAAGGGTTCCTCAAGACTCTCTTCATCGGAGTGATAAACCCTAGTTCATTCCCTTCCTCCAGCCTCTTTCCTTCTACGCGATCTCTTCTTCCGTCCTCCACACAGTGAGGAACGAAGAGGCGGAAACCTACGACCATGTCAACAGCGCACCGGCCTAGCCCCTTTAAAAGCGATTTCCTTTATTATTGATTTCTTTGATTGTTATTTCCTTATTGATTTCCTAGAACGGGGGTAGAGAAGAAGTTGAGGATTTTACCTATCTTCGCTCCGTCAAGGGGAGGTCGTGAGGGCCGATATCTGTCCGCCGCCACCGTCTATTGTTCGCCGCAACCTTCCTCCGTCCGCCACCTTCCTCCATCTGCTTATTACCGCCGCCGCCCATCCTCAAGCCGCTGTCTTTCCGACATTACTCCCCTTCCGCGTTCGACATCCATCGCCCGCTAGTCTTCCACCGGATTCATCCTCCCCTGCTGCCGCCGTCCGCTGCCACCGCTTGCCTCCGCGTTCCAACCCCCCCTTTCCGGGCGGTTCCGGTTCGTCTTACCGGTTAGGGTGATCTCCCGCCGATTCGTGAATCTGGATCCGACCGACCCAAACGGCCCATTACCATCTAGCCGCAAATCAGCCCGGTCACCGGGTCTGCGCCGGTCCGAACCACCCCAGACCAGCTGGTCCACCCCAGCCCGCCTCCCCTGGGTTTTAGCCAGTCCACCGGTCAACCACGTCAGCCGGTCAATAGTCAGCGACACGGTCAACATCAGGTTAACTACTTATGTACTTGCTTGAAAGAAGTTTGGCGGCTCCAGAGAATATGAATGATGTTACTTTGACTGTATGCCCATTTTTATTTTCATCTATTATTAGTGAATTATTGTCCAAACCTCTATTTTTATGCTCAATGCACAGACACAATGATAATAATAGAGTGGACTCTATATATTCTAGTCAATTATTCTTTGTGGGCATGATTTATAGTATTTATTGAGTACTTTAGTGTAATTTTTCTGTGTATCTTTGTATGCCCTAATTAAGGTTTGAACAACACTATAAAAATGGAATTAACCATTGAGGTGTTCTACTTCCACAAAAGGACTAGTCTTGTATGCCCTAATTTGGGTGTCCACACATGAGGAGAGAGAGAGGACTGATTTTAGGCATGACTCAAAATGATAAAATTGATTTAACCATTGGGAAGTCTTGCTTCCAAGAAAGGCTAATTTTGGATGACTAAGCAGATATTTAAAATTTCAGAAAATGAAAAAAATATCAGTTTATATTGAAGGAACACTCTCCTCACCAAACAAGTGAGGAACCAAAAAAAATCAAGGTTAAGGGTCAAATATCAAAGAAGCTCAAGGGAAAAAGTTACACCCTAGATGAAAAGTTTCCAAAATGAATGATGAGAGGAATCAAGCCTCCAAAATTATTAAACTTTAAATCAAAAGAATGTAACTTGTTCAATGATCTATAGAGTATTCTTTGATTGGAATAGAAGTCAAGTTTTTCTATCCTTCTTGTTTATACTTCCACAAAGACTCTTAGTACAAGAGAGAGGTTATGCTGCTTAGGTGTGATGTTGGATGTTCAAGGCCACATATAGGTCATCGTCAGCAAGGGTTGATCAGCTGCCCAATGACATTAGTATCAAAGCAAAGTTATTGTCATGTAAGAGAGATATGATTTGACTATTAGGTTGAAGCATAAGATTTGAGGATTGATCGCATGAAGTAGAAGATCTTCATGTTGGAGAACACAATTCAAGTGAAAGACGATTGCATTTTTACTCTATGCGAGCAAATTGACATGATAAGAACTACATTAGAATAAGTAATGGCTTACTCGTGGGTGACTTAGGTGGATGAAGTCAAAGTCAATCAGCTACAATGTAGTCATCGAATTCTTTTGGCCAATATGGCATTGGTGAAATGCCTAGTGAAATGTCTAGTGGTTTTAGTTTTAGAACCCAGGCATATGTGAGGGCCCATTGTGTACATAAGTTGGCAAATTACATATGAGATATAGAGTAATACTTATGAGCCTAACTCACCTCAAATGAGGGAAATGTCACTCTGGTCAATGCGTACTTGAAACTAGATATTAAACTTATGAGTCACATATGTCCATCAATTTTGGAGTATGTCCAAGAGCTGTGAGAGTAATTTTTGTCCACCAATATTACATGGATATTGCACATACACCTTCAGTAGTTCCATCACATCAAAAAGACCATATAAGACCACATCAAGAAGTTCTATCTATCATCCTTAACATTAAGAATATGTTCAAGGATCAAAACTACATTTTTCAGATTTATCAAAAACTAAAATCATGATTTTTCACTATTGAAAATATCATAGTTAATGTTCAAAATCATTGCTTCCCTTGTTTTGAGTTTTGACTTGACACTGAATTGAGCTCTTTGAGATGTTCAAGGGCATTGTCAACCTATCCTTGTCCACTTGATGGGTAACTGAGGAAAGGAAATTGAGAGCGTGACTCAACCAAATGAAGAGTAAGCTTTCGCTTAATTTTTTGGTTAGGTTGTAGTCATGGGTGTAAATAGAAGTCAAACATCATAAAACTCAAGACTTGATCTGCAATGACAGTTGTCTAGGAGATAGTACTTTCCAAGAGTCAAGGAGGACCCAAGATAATTGCATATGTCAACCCATCAAGAGTGAATGCTTCACATGTGGAGATCCCCATGAAGAGGGATTGCCTAAAGAGGAGTTATATCAACACAATAGCAGGACAATTAATATATATGAAGTAGGTTCCAATTCTTAATCTTCTAGAAATATTAGACACATTGTAGTGATACACCAACATTGGACATATCGGTAAGGGCTACTTCACACTCATATGATTGATAGTGAGGTTACCCATTGTTTCTCCTCTAAGAAGAAATCAGTATTGATAGACTTGGCATTGCCATGAGGAGTTGGCAAAATAAAGGTCATCAACTTGGTAGGATGTACTCGAATTAGTATTGCACATGATATTCCACTAAAGGTCCAAAGCGTGGGAGGGTGAGAAAAAAATTCTTGTGTTCCAAATAGACAACTTCGATATCATACTCTATATGCTTCCCTAAATACACAATCTCTTTTTTACATGTGGTCAATCTTTATGCCGTCTCAAAGTGCAAGAGGCTAAGAGGGGCCTCAGCACGGTGTCATGACTGTAGCTCAAAAATGAGCATAAAAAGCATGATATAGCCTACTATAGCCTAGAAGAGGGGCCCAACATCTCCTCTCAAAATGGACCAAATAACCCTTTCAAGTGAGGACCTCAAGAGGGGCAGTTAAGTCTTTTTTATAGAAGAGGATAAGAAGTATTAAGGCTCAATTATTGTGGAGAAAAGGGTATGGAGTAGGGGGCATCTTGAATGCCCCATTGCTCTATGATATGGGGTAGGCTCAAAGCCCAACCTACTCTTTCTATTATCTAATCTTCTATTTTCATGTCTATTTTTTCATATTTATATTCTCATTATTTGTCTAGATTTAGGTTCCTATTATTCATTCCTTGTTGTATTGTCTCCATATAATATTCTGAACAAGGGTCCTATCAAATTGGTATCAGAGTGAGGTGAATGAAGCATATGAAGAAATCACAACTTCACAAGTTTTTATTCTAATGGCACTTAAGTCTCAAGATTGTTGATTCACTACATTGATAAGTGCAATGTCCAAATTGGAGAGAGAAGATGTAAAGTTGAAGGCAGAACTGAAACATGTATGCTTCTAGTTGGCTCACATTGTTCACATAGATATTAAAAAGTCATCATAGATAACAATGGGAAAGCTAGACATCTAATGGAAGAAATCTATGAAAAATGAGGTTCAAGTGCAAGAAAGAAAGGTCAAGTGTGAGAAGAAGAAGCAAAATCTTAACAAACACAAGAAGGAATAGATTGAACACAAAAGAACCACCAAGGATCAACAATGGACATAGAATGGAAATGTCAAGATCTAAAACTAAAGAAGTATTAGAGGAATGACTTCCTCTATTAGATGTAAATGAACATGGTTTCAATGAAGGTTTTGTCACCTAGAATTGAAACTACTTTTAAGGACCACATTTCAAAAATAATTTAGGAAAAAATCTAAGAAAATATGTGTTTAGTTATGATGATTTATATGATCATCTTTCAATCCCTTCTAAAACCTTTAGCATTATCAATAAAATTTTAGAAGAAGATGCAAGAAAAGATAATACTAACATGACAATATTTCCACAATAAGAGTTTATGACATTAAAAAGAACTCATTACAAACTTCAGTACTTGTTACTTGAAAGCAACAAACGTTACAATGTCTTTTACTCTTTTATTGAAGTCTTATCATGGTGATAATGAGGATAAGGAAAAAAAAATAGTCCCCAACGTACACCTCCTTCAGTACAAATCCAATTTCGAGACAAAAGTGAGGTCATTCTAGACTATAATGAGGTCAACATAGGTGGACAATTTTTCGTGTCGAGGACAATTAGAGGAAGATGCCACTTAGGAGTAAGAAGTCAACCTCTAGTAATTTGAGGATCTTATCAAGAGGTATTACAAGGTCCAAGCTCCAACATAGGTGGGGTAGAATATCACACCTCTAATATCACTGGCCAAGGTTCTTACAACAGGGTCTCAATGTTCACCTTAATTGGCGCGCACATATGCATGATGGGCATGACACTCGCAGGCTAACACTGCACACATGACGAGTGCAATTGCATGGCAGCCCATGGAAGGTGCACGAATGCATATGGCACAGGCATTGGACTCGACTAGTACAAGAGAAGGCCCTCACGAGTTCTGCTAATTATCGGCATGGTATGGTACTCGGTATGTTTCAAATGTGGCCGAACAGTTGACCTGAGTGGGCACTTACATAGTTCTGCTAACTCACAGTTGACCTGCATGACACTCGCAGGCTAACATCAGCAGTTGATAGTTCAGCTAACTATCAACTGCAGATGTGTGGGCACTTAGCGTGTCACGATTGTCCACCAATTAAGGAAGTCGTTGCCCTGATCTCTCCCCTATAACCCAATGTCTCCTATTACTAATTGGAAGAAAGGTTAAGCTGCTCATACACCTAAGACCATACACATGGGCCATTGACGAGCCTTGATCTGCGTCCATGTGACACATGGGCCATGAGATTTGACCATCAACAGTAGGGAACTGCTTACAAGCAAACTAGAGGGGTCAGTCAGGTCAACAATAATAGACTCATTGACCTGAGGGAGTCCATCCGGAGAAGCCGTTGACCATCGATACGCTGACCTAGTCGAGCCTGCCATCAGCTGGCCCTTTCAAAGAGGAGGTGTCGATGCGGCCTGAGTCAAAGAGGAGGTTGTTCCAGATCGGCAGCCGGTGGACGGTTCCAGCGGGAATCCGGTCGCTGTCCTCTCCGCCGGAGGCCTCGTACCCATCGGTGGCATCGTCGGAGCGGTGGACAATGCCCTTACGGGCCTCATCAGCGACAGAGGAGGACCGGCTACTGTCAGGGGAGGCAGCGGCGGCGCCGCCGCCGTGGGAGGACGTGGGCTGGTTCGTGCAGAATGCGCCCCTCGCCGCGAGCTGGAGTGGCGCCACGCCAGAGGATGCGCCGCCAGCAGAGGTCTTCACAAGGGCTTCATGAAGCGTGTTGCCGGTGGGTGGCCGGCCCCCCCTCTTGTTCGTCGCCTTGGTCACTCGCTCGATAATCGGCATCATTCGGCCGCTGCCACTGCCGAAGCTGCTGTCTGTCTCCGGCCCAACAGGAACATCCCTCCTCGTCACCGGCCGCAGCAGCCTGGACCTCTTCCGTGCCTCTGCTGCCGTTCTCGCGACCTCCTCGGCATTCATCCGTGCCAGCGTCCACGGGCTGATCTTCACAGCCACTGGGTTTCTCCCCTGCTCTGCCGCAGGCCTCTTCCCCACAGAACGGAACGACCCTCCGACCTCCGGCAGCGCCACATCAAACTGCAGACAAGAAAGACGATGAAAAGATTCCCACTGAGTGATCCACTGCAACCATCCCTCTCGAGCAGGAAAGAAGGCAAGAGGAGGAGAAACCTGGTGGTCCTCGAGGAACAGCCGGGGAGGGGTGCACCAGGCGCCGCGGCGGAAGTTGGTGAAGGAGCTGGTGCTGCTCAGCCCGGTGAGGGAGCTGACCGGGGACATCAGGGGGCTCTGCTGGCCCCGCATTCCCTGCTGCTCCTGCTCCTGCTCCCTCAAGGCCACGATGTAATCGTACGTGCTGATTCCCTGCCCAGAAAAAAATAAATGAGACTTTAATGATGCTGATGATGTTGACGATGATCATGATCACGTTGAATCTCAAACACTACTCTCGCTCATCTGTGTTCTAGAAGGTTTGCTGACCTTTATTTTGAATAGAGATTTATGAATCCCATTAGAGAATGCAGTTAACCTTGAAAAGAAAAGTTATATTTTAGAGAGAGAGAGAGAGAGAGAGAGGAAGATAAATATTTCCTGTTCTAGTCAACGGCTGTTGTTTATAATGCGGCAAGGGATGCATGTGATTAGTTGACGAACATTAAACAATTGTCAACGAGTAAACAAGCAAAACTTCCGAAGCACATACCTTTTTTACGAGGAGGACATGGAAGAAAAAAAGCTGGGCGAGCGGTAAGGTGGCAACCATGGCCAAGAAAGAGCACGAACCCTGAAAACAAAAGCATCTAATTTTTTTAATAAAATAACATTAGGGTCATTCCACATTTCCAGATTAAAAAAATAAAATTCTCCTATGTTCAGATTTTCTTCAATAAAAAATTAAAATCAGAGCAGACCCACCACAACGACAACGAATGCAGGCAAGGAGAAGCTGCTCCCCAGCTTCGATGTTATATCCCCTGTGAACTCTCTCTGCTTGAGCAAACAGCGAATCAAGATGAACACCCCCGCTGACCACTGTAGAATAAGCTGCAAGCTCAAGCCCAAGGTGCACAAACCACCCATGCCTGTCAATAAATATCCCAAATGAAAAGGACCAGAAAGACGGTGCTTGTGGGGCGGAGCAAGCGAGGGCTGTGGATGTGAGAGGGATGATTGCTAAATCTGTGATTGGGGGAGACAACTTCTGAGGAGATCGTCTCTAAGAGCGGCGTACCATGAGAAGAGCAGATACCATGAGGATGAAGAACCCTCGGTAGTTTCTTCTGCCGATGCAATTGTTGAGCCACTGCAAATTGAAGGGAAGGGATGGTGTCAGATATCCTTGAAGGGGTACAGATGAGATTTTGAGAAGAGCTCAGTACCCTGCAATGGTGATCAAAACCATCCACACATTTATCACAGACTCTGCAGTGCTTGCTATACTTGTACACCTGCGGGATTGGGATAGGAGCTTGAGGATTAAATCCGATGTACAGATTATTCATTGCAGTCAATAAAAACTAGAGTGGATCATCAGATGATCTGTATGCTTCATTCCTCTGAAGAGCAAAGATATGACGACAGCTGCAATTGTTACTCAAAAAGATTATCTAATTTATGTTCAAGAATTATAAAATTTATAGAGCTGGGAAAAAGCACCTGATCAAGAGTTTAAACTGACACCAAAGACAAAACTAAATTTCCGTTAGGATTATCACCTACTGCTACAAAAGGATGACCATAAAAGAAAATTTTCTGCAAGAAAATCATCTGGATTTTCATTGACTTTCAGGTAACTACACCTCAGCAGCAGCTCATTTTTGCTATCATTTATGTAGATGTACATGAGGGATGCTATCAATGCATAGCCCACGGGCACGATTCCTCCAATAAAGACTAATGATCTGATCTTTCAACCAGCATTTCCACCTGAATCTATGGACAAAACAGTGACTTCTGTGATACCGGTTGACCGGTCCCAACTATAATATAATGGTTGACTTCTGCAGTGATTCAAAATATCTTAAAATGAAGTCATTAAATCCTCTATAATTCAGGATAATGCATGACATGGACCATAACGTTGAAAACAAACCATAGAACAGAAAATACTATCAGCAAGAAAAAGGTTGGAACATCGCCATCCAAGGTCAGACATTAGCCGCTCACCTCAACTTCACAAAGACTGCAGTAAAACGATCCATCCTCGCTCATCTGTTGCTCTGTACGTTGGCCACATGAATGAGACTGGCGACATACGTACGAAAGAGGGCACCTTCCCAGCAGAGCCAGAAAACAAGAAATACTTTCTTTTTGGAACTCATTCAACGATATCCCAACACTAGCATCGGTAGCTGAGGCCTCATTTAGGGACTTCTCCCCAAAGGTAGCAGTATTCATTTCATTAACAGAGGAAATGGACTCGTTCCCTTGTCTGGGTCCCTTTGAGCTGGCAGGTTTCTCGTCATCCACAACGCCCAGATACTTTTTTGACTTGAAAATTCCTTCATCCCCTGGATCTGTTGCTGCGCACCAAACGTATATGCAGAAGACGCACGAAAGCTAGAAAATTTAACCAAAGTCAGATGTTATGTTTGAGCTACCTCCGAAAGTACAACATGATGCAGGCTAGACAACCAACACTTTATCTTAACTTCAATTTCACCGGACATTATGAATACAAGAGAAAGTTTTTTTCACGTGTTATATACATCGTGAAGGGGAAACATTGGAGAGTTTCTGAACAGCAAGATAAAAACTATACAGAGCTCAGTATGACGTATAGACCCACACATAAAAAGAAAGGACAACGAGATAAATGTCAACCTTTGACATAGAATAATGTATGAAAGAAATGAGAGACCTGATGGGTGGAAATGACTAACCAGAGGAGTGTAGAGCCCGGCTGCCAAATGCTCAAGCTTCTTATTTCCGACAAATGGGGCGAAAAACACGTAGAAGGCGACCCCCAGAGCCAGGAAAACCGCAATGGCCACTACCTGACCCAGGGAAATGAGAGCTGAGGAGTCACACTCACAACTGCTGAGAGAAAAACGGAACAGCGAGAAAGACCAGACCTGGAGAGGGTGGTAGGGGAGCTGCCAGCCGTGCTTCCTCATATCGGTGTACAACAAGGAAGATGAACCGAGACCCAGAGCGTGAAGAAAACAGGACTATCTGGAGGTCACATTGACCAGAACGAGGAAAACAAAACCAAAACCCTGCTGGTCTTCACCTCCACCCTCACCTCCTCGGGAGACATTAAGGAGAGAGTGCGGCCCCCTCCCCCACACACCGGGCGCGCGCTCTCCTGTCGTACCATATTTCATCGTCCAAGCGTCTGGGTTAAGGAAAGCAGGCAGAGGTGGGTTTCGTAATTGAACAAGGAGAGGCTGGACTGTCAGGTCATCCGTTCTCCCTCTCCGTCTTCTTTCTATGCTTCCTGTCTTTCTCGTGAGCCGCGAAGCCTTCGTTCTCCAGAGGCAGCAGAGAGCCAATAAGCATGGACTGTCCGACCCCAGCTGAATCCATATCCTAATGTGATCTACATTTGTCCTCTTCTCTTGGACGTTTGTGCTCGTCGACGCCAAAATCCCTCTATACCAGCAAATCCCGACAACAGAGGAAAGCTCTCCTTCTTGGATATCTATTGAGAACATGCAGATCAGAAGCCGGTCACGGCCGTAGATCCCACCGGTGGACCCTTCTTCTCTCGATAACATCTCACAGCAGCCTACCAATCCCGCAGAGAGCAGGAAATGACGAACCCCGCTTGGAAGATTACCGCATGGTTCGCATCTACTGCCATGAGGTCATAGGGTCTATCCGCATCGGAACGACCCCAGATGTCGCGACAGTCACCTCCACCACCGCCACACTATCCAAAAGGAAAACAGTCCACTCGTTCGACCAAAACCTTGACACCAGACGATGACGACAATCAATCACAGGGCGTACATGAACAGAGAGAAGCAATTACCGTGGCGTCGGCGGTGCAACGGCGGAGTTCGCCGTCGACCGGTGCGGGGAGAATCCATCCGAGGTTTGCCATCGCCGATCGCCTTCAAGAATCAAGCGATCTGCAGAGCTTTTAGGGGAAGCCGAGATCTCCATGTTTCAGGGGTTGGAAAGACGGCGACAGTTGCCGTCCCCGCCTTCTGGCGTTTTCTCATCACAGGACTTGCTACAGAAATGTAATAATATGTGCGATTGTGGTCACCGTTTGTCGTCTTACCCCCTCCCTATCTGACAGCTTCCACCGCCGCATTTACTTCCATGAGCCCTTTCTGCCACCCCCTCGTTGGCGGTCCCCACACCTCCTCGAAAGACGATCGAAATCCACGTGGCCGGTCCCTTGTGCCCAAATCTCGCGATGTACGGTCCACAACGTCGACGTCTCAGCAGATAAATGCCCACATGGTGTCCACGTGTCACACCCCGACTATCCGCTCTCTCTCTCTCTCTCTAATTAAGTACATAAGTGGAGGACCCTGGTCGGTGTGGGCCCCATCCTCTTGACCGGACTACTGATTCGACCCAAGTGGGTCAGGCGCTGGCTCCTGACCTTACCCCTGACGGTCAATTTGGAAATTCTCTGGACACGTGGTGCACTCCACTCCGTGAGCTTCTACTCTCGAGCCGCCACGATACCCCCATTTCCGCGACAGATAGTACGTAGCATGCCAGGACGGCGGTTAGAAATCTCCCTACTCCATACGCTGCAAGAAAAAAATATGGTATCTTTACAATAAACCTGCAGAGTCAAAAGACAGATTTTTACGTCATTTTTACATCAAACCCCCGCAACTTAAAATCACTTGCCGTAATCCCCCCCCCCCCAAATCACCCAGAGTGGACCTTCTCCAGGAGCCACGTCAGGCGACAGTCATCTTCTTTGAAGATCACCACCGGCCGACGTGGACCTTCCCCTCTCGGGTTCCATCGCCACGGAGCTGGTTCACTCGGGTGATATTCTCTTCAAAAGAGCAACGAGCGGCAGCAGCTAGCTCAGGCCTCCTGCTTTCCTTCCCTTTGCCCTGCATATGAATGAGCACACGAATCAGTGGCAAAAATAATTTACCCAAACGGATTTTTATTTTATTTTTTAAAAAAGTGATCGATGAATGATAGGAGTAAGTTTTTCACATATTAATTTCCGGATCAAACCATTATTATATATTAAATTCTCAATATAATCCTTACACCGTTGGAACCAGGAGCGACGAACAGCCTGCCGGATCTGCCTCTCGTGCTTCTCCAGCAACTCGTCGACCTTGTTCAACTGAGACAGCAGAGGGCCGGAGAACTCCACTCGATCTTCTTGATCTTGCATGGAACTCTGAACAAGAAAAGAAAAAAAAAAACGAAGAGAACAATCAGCGTCGATAACCAAAAGGGGAAAGGAATCAGCAGTCTCTCGAGAGGAGCACCTCCGAGAGGTTATGGGAGTTGAAGGCTTCAGAAGCGTCGAAGGAATCCGGGCGCGTTAATGGCCTCAGCTGCTTCAAGGCCACCCACTTCGCCTTCTCATTGGACAGCTCATGGGCCTCCCTTGAACTGGCTCTGCTGTTTGGCCTTGAACCTGCATCGTCCTCTCTCCAGTGTCTCGCCCATGAGAAACCACCGGAGGATGGAAGCAACAGCGACCCAGAGAAAGATATGCCTTCCTCAGAGTGAAGCTTTGAGTGGGAAGCTTCATCTGGCGGTCTTGTTGTCGATACTGCCTGCAGGTCTGTGAAGAGCCTAGAACTGCCGTCTCTGCTCTGAGGATTTGGCTTGAGACCACTCCTTTTCACCACATGGGCATTTGTTTTGAGCTCCCGCAGAGACTAGAGAAAACAAATTTGATTGATATCAGATACCCATTGCTTTTCTTTGCAGATGAATAGATGATGCAATCAGCTTCTGAACAGATGATGGATGTTACCTCAGCACATGACGGCAATCTGTTTGGGCCATTAGATTCTCGCGAAGGTTTACAGCCTCTTGATACGTGGCCCCTGTTGGGAGCCCTTTTCCTGAAACGCCACAACGGTTGTCAGATACGCCTGTTGATAGCATCTTAGAAGGATGTCAACCATAATTCTAGGTCATTTGCGATAGTTTTAGCTTCATTGTCAGACAAGATAGATGCGAAGCGCGGATTCATCAGCTCTATGGGAAGTATTCAGGGAAGATTCCCCAAGATTCAAAAAAAGTCAAAGGAATCTCCTTGGCATCCCATATTGGAAATAATCCCAAATCCATAGGTAGGTAACATACAGAATCAACGAAAGAAATTTGGCAATTAATGGAAAATACTTTCCATATATAATGTCTCTTGCCAATGAATGGGAAATAAAAAAAATTCTACAGCTCAAGACACTTTAAAAAATATAGCACTTTCCTCACGATGGAGAGATATTAAATTTAAATATCAAGTATCTTAAAAAATGGAATTTTGAACAATCACCTGCGTAATTCCTCGCGATTCTTTGCATCAATCTCCTTGTTAGGGGGGTATTTCGGTAAGCTAGATGGTTCACATGAATAAGGCTCTGTAGCAAAATACTGATCCAGAATGAGATAAGGTTAGTATGCTCCATTATAACTTTGACAACACTGATCTACATAAGAACATAAAATGAAACAATGACAGGCTCAGAGTGTCACTGATGATGCATTAATTTTCATGTTGGAGATTGCAGTGAACGAGAGGACTGTTCAAGCTGATTTGAGAAGAGGTAGTTGAAAGTTCTAGCTATTCGGATGCTATCTCTTGCTTTTTTTTTTTTCTTTTCTTCTTTTTTTCAGTGTTGCACCACTCTCTGTAATGCAGGTAGTCATCAGGAGACTAAATGAGAGAAACATAAGAGCCACTGCTAATCTGATGACAAATGGTACACAGTTCGGCTGCATCCAGACAAAAGAAATTCGTAAAATGCCCTCCAAGGCCAGTGAATCTATGGTTCATCACAGTGGCAAAGCAGGACATAGCAAGGGATGAAAATGTGTATGGCATGGGTAAAGCCGCATGCAGGAATAGGCATGATTACAGGGTACAAGTATGAAGGTATTGAAACTAACATAATTAACGTCACCACGCTCTCCCCCTCGACCAACCAACCAAATGGGCAGAGGGGCCTTCCACAGGAAACTTGCCTAGCATTTAGGATTCAGAAACTGTACCTTTCGGACATGACATTTTCATTGATGAATCAAAACTTCTGAAGTTCTGGCAATCACAGCTTAGAAAGGTAAGCACTTTCTAGCCTTATAATTATTTCATTTTCTATTTGGAAATCTAAATGACTGGCCAACTTGTCTTGCATACATAAATTTGGCAATTTGCAGTTTTATGCCACTGGTTTTCCATCTGGAAAACGGCTAAACGAAACAATCATATGTAGCTCCACATGCTCTACTGATAAACAAGTGAAATAACATACGAAATCTTGAACTATTTTAGTGGCTTAAAACATTTTAGAAATAATATGTACTAGCTAGATGAAGTGTCGGGCTTTGAGAGAGAAGAATGAAACATTACATACCGTAGATTTGAGAGCAGAGGAAGCAGTTCCGCGCTTATAAGGTTCAACTGAGAGGAGAGTTTCTATTAAACTGAATGCACAGTCTGGAAAACCTTTGCATGTTTCTTTAAGGCAACTTTTGTAGGGTTGATGGGGTTTGAAAATAGTTGCATGCGGTAACTTGGACTTTCTCCAATATTCATCCGGTGGTGAGCCACATAGCTTAAATATTTTATGCAACTGTTCAACCTGCGAATCGGGATGTAGGCAGAATTAAGTAACTTTCCGTTCAGGGGGAAATATAATCACTTACTTTAGACTCCGTTTAACAGGTAAAGAAAGAAGGATTTTTTTTTCAAATATCCCAAATATGTAGATAAAAGGCATATAGCATACATAGTTTGTGAGTACGTAGAAGAATCAAGAATGAGTAAAAGAGGGCCATGTGTAATAACATATACCCTCTATAGCTTCACATTAAGCCTGGACAAAAGGTTTTAATAACCCTAAACAACTGTATTGCCTCACAATATGGCAAGTATAACACTAAACGAGAAGCACTGAAGGTCATTACCTCAGTTCTTCCCTGTAGGATAGGCTTCCCCAGAAGCACTTCGCCAAATACACAGCCAACACTCCATAGATCAACTGACGCTCCATAGTCTGTTGATCCCAAGAGAAGTTCAGGTGGGCGATACCATAGAGTAACTACACGACTTGTTAATGGTTGCTTTTGTCCCAAATAAGAGTTCGCCAGACCAAAATCAGCTATTTTGAGGATTCCTTCATTGTTAACCAAAAGATTTGAACCCTTGATGTCACGATGCATGATACCCTGCGAATGGCAATGTTCAAGTCCAGAGAGTAACTGGCGCATGTAGCACTTCACCTACAAGGTAGACAAGTAAAATGAAACTCTTCGATGAGCAAGTGGGAAAAAAAGGGAATTCTTCTCTTCTTCTTTTTTTGTGTCAAAGAATAAAGTTATTTTTGTTTTCACGAGCACAGACGAACCTGGGACTCACTGAATTGAATATCAGGACAGGATGACAACCCTGAAAGGTCATGTTCCATGTACTCGAACACAAGATATATACAGCATGACAACCGAGATGTAATCACGCCCTCAAGTTTCACAATATTTGGGTGATTGAGCCTGCGGAGTATTTGTATTTCCCGTGCCATAAACCTGACACTCTCGGGCTCGTAATTGTCAAATCGTACCTTCTTCAGGGCAACAATCTTTCCTGTCTCCAGTTCACGCGCTTGGAATACACTGCTGTATGTACCTTGCCCAATCTAAAGGGCCAAACAGCAAAGAACTAAGATTGAGTCAAGAAATGCTTAAACAAACAAGTAATAACAAATTGACGTTCATCCGAGGGCTTTACTCTGTAAGAGGTTTTATGTACCGAGATCGGCATGAGTACAGGCTAAACATTATGATATGCAGGGCATCATGTAGTTTAGACAAAGTAATGTCTTGTTTCTTACTTCGGTGTGTCTGATTGCATTAACGTTGACACAATCAGCCTGATTGTGTGGGTGGCTGATTTTAGAAACAGTGACTGAATTTGGCAACAAAACACCAAGGTTACCTGATTGTTGCATAACGTTGTCGTAGATTATAATCAATTTTATATGCCCTCGGCAGACATCAATGAACCAGAGGAAAGAAACTTCTGAGGAATCTATTCACAGAAGCAAAAACTGAGAGACAATATACAACCAGAAGGATGTGGGAACTCGGAATGTGGTGCACCCACATTCATATGTCTCATTAGAGGCCTTTAAAGATCTTTTGGTGGCAAGTGTGCAGATGCATATCCGTGAAGTAAATTAGGATTCACTATCTAAATACATAAAATCAGTCGACATTTAAACTTTCACTTCAACGCAGACGTTGAAAGTTGTGATTCATACGAATATTTCTTGAAGCAAAGAGCCGGAACCATCGGTGATAAAAACGTTGGCGAAAGGTTTTGCCCATTACCTTTTCCAGCTTCTCAAATGAGTCGGACTTGAGCGGCACCCATCCTTGAATGGCCTCTCCAGCAACTGCGCTCAGCCAGGCGGGCCAACCGGCCGCCACCAGTTCCCCTTCCAGGTACTTGTGGAGGTTCGACAGCCGGAAGCTCAGCGCGCTGGTGGCATTTGAGCTAGCCTTCCTGGACTCCGTCGACGCATCCGTGACGAGGTTTCCGTATCTCTTCTTCGCCCCATTCCGGCGAGAAGAAGACGACGCCCCTCCGGAACTATGGATCCTGATTGCGCCTGAGTGATCTAGAGCAGGGTTCACAGAGACGACATCCTTCGACGCAATGCAACCCATGGTTCTCTATCACAGTGAGCGCATGGACCAGATCAGGGAAAACCAGACACAACGAGATGCGGATAAGAAACCAGTTTTTCGATGAGCAATCAGGATTTAGGTGGAAATGGGAGGACGTCTTCTTGAGAGGGAATCAACAGAGCAACCAAATGATGAGCAAATTGTCGTGAACGTACAGAGGAAAGCCCCCCGGGACCGAGATAGGGGAAAATTGCCCGGGAGATGTCTCAAGCAGACAACAATTACGGAAAGACAAAGCTAACGTCACATCTCTTTTGTCGCGATCTCTTCCCGATATCTCTCCATCCTCCTCTGGATTTTATCCTCCCCCTCCCCCCCTTTCTTGTTCTTCCCTGGGCTCCGCTATTCGAGGGATTGGGGAGAGACACGTCTATATCGAGATGGTCTGTCGAACAAACAACTCCGGAATCAACTCGCCGGGAAAGTGTGGGCTCGTATTGTCCATACCTTCGCTCGCGTCCCCTCCGCTTCCTCCTTCCAACGGCATCAACTCCACTACTGCCTGAGGAGGAGGAGAACAACGACAAAGGCGACAGCAGGGAAATGCCGCCAGTTTACCGGCAGCGAAAGGAATCTTGAACGGCGTTCCAGTTGGTCGCCCCGTTTTTCAAATGCTGACGATTCCCTCCCTCTCTCTCTCTTCTCTCTCTTCTCTCTCTTCTCTCTCTTCTCTCTCTCTCGATCCGAGCTTCGGAGTGGGTGCGCCGGCGACATTGCTTATAAAGCTTCATATAATAGCCCCGATAAATATATAAAATAAAGTAAATTTATTCATAAAGAATATTTATATATATATATGTTCTCTCTCTCTCTTCACTCTCTTTCTCTCTCTCTCTCTCGATCCGACCTTCGCAGTGGATACGCCGCGAGATTGCTTATAAAGTTTCTATAATAGCCCCGATAAATATATAAAATAAAGTTAATTTATTCATAAATAATATTTATATATATATGTTCTCTCTCTCTGTTCACTCTCTCTCTCTCTCTTCTCTTCACTCTCTCTCTATCCGACCTTCAAGTGGGTGCGGTGGCGACGTCGCTTATAAAGTTTCATATAATAGCCCCGATAAATATAAAATAAACTAATTTATTCATAAATAATATTTTATATATACTTTATAGGGAGCCGTTGATTGTGGCGACCCATAAGAGTTCCTTTCCAGTACGGTCTTCTTGAACCCAAAAGATACAAAATCCCTCTCTTCTCTCTCTCTCTCTCTCTCTCTCTCTCCTCAAGTCCGGGCCCGGGCTCAAGTTGGCTACGTAGAGCCCGGCCCCGGACGGTCGCCTTTTATCAGATACGAAGTCTAGGGCCACTTTGGCAGGGTCCCCGGCCCTGACTGGGCCTCCTCAACACCCGTTACCGGATGGGGAGGACTTTTCCGATTTTAGAGAGTATAAAGGTAATAAAGCTAAAAGAACGGACGTGAGGGTTTATACGTAATTACACGCCTTGTGAGAAGAGGATTGTGGGCCCAAAAGACGGCCGTACGCTGCATTGTTTTAAAATATCCTCACTGACAGGTTCTCATAGACATTAGTTTATTTTATTGGACCTCAATTAAATATCACATTAGCGGCGGGCCCCACCTCTTTTACATTAACATCAGAAAAAAGTAGGTTTTTATCTTTTTGTCCCCAGGGCCTCTATTTTAAATATCCAAATTTTAGCTGATCACTGTAAGTACCCGGGCCAACCACAACCGGAATAATTATAATTAAATGTTATCAAACAAAATAAAATACTACATTCTTTACTCATTGATTATCCAAATGAATCAACTAAATTTTTGTATTCTAATTAGAGTAAATAAATTAATAAAAATGTGTAGTTTATGTCCCCTACATTACAATCGTGTGCTAGTCAAACACATTCTATTATTTATAATTATGAAGACTAGGGTCAACGGTGATGTATATTGTTGGCAACCTAAGCAATTAAGGTAATGATAGATGGGTGACTTTTCAGAAAAACGTGCTTCATGTTGAAAAAAAGGGTATAAGGGTCAAATAATCGTTATAATATATATATATATATTAAATAGTTAAAAAGACGACCTCGACCACGTTACAATGCTCCGTAGGGAATGATATTGAGGTTAGGAGGAAATTGAAGATATACCCTCTAAAAATTGAAAATCTCATTTTTGACTCGTCACTGATGTCTTTGTAGAACAGGGTTGATTCCGAAAGGGACTGTTTTGAAATTTTCCCCAGCTGTCTAGTCGAAAGCCGATTGCGGAAATCCGCTGACGCACGCCGCAGATCATGGCGGGCAGGCGGGTGGCGCACCGCCGGTCGCCGGGGGAGGGCCTTGCAAGACGCGATCTTCGGCGGAATCCTCTCGACAAGATAAATGCGCTCCTCGGGGATGGCGCAGAGAAGGGGGGAGGGGGGATTCCAGCCGGCGGTGGAGGAGGGTGGGGCAATCCCGGGGATGACGACGACGGATGGAGGTTGTTAGGGTTGCGGCAGCCGGTCGTCGCTCCCGTCTTGCGAGTCTGCGACTGCAGGTGACCTACGAGTGGATATGAATTGCGGAGTGGGGACGCCAAGGGCTGCGCTCCGGTGTATTCTTCATAAAATGCGGTGATGGAGGCCGATCGACCCTCGGATCCGCCAGGTGCGCTTCTCCATTTCCCTGCCGTTCGCCAATCCCGTCTTGTGAGTCTGCTTCTGAAGGTGACCTGCGAGCACAGAGAGCAGCGTATATTAATTGCGGAGTGGGGACAGCGAGGGTTGCGGACCTGTATATGCTTCATCATATGCGGTGATGAAGGGCGATCGGCCCTAGGATCCGCCAGGTGAGCTTCTCCATTTCCCTGAGATGCGTGAATCACGAATCTCACTAGAAGTCGATCTGGTTGCTTGCAGAAAATCAGAATAGGATAGTTCGGAGTTCCATCTCCCGTACAGTGCGGATCACTGTTTTCATTATCATAATCCTCGTCTCCCGCAATCGGACCAGGTACCGATGTCACGGAGGATTCAAGAACATGGAGAGATTTGATAACCGTTGGCTAGCTTGATGAAATATCATGAACGGAATTGGCATCGCAACAGTCTAGGTTCTTCATACTACTCTGGATGAAAAATGGAGTATTCAAATATGGCACAAGGATTAAGAGTAACCTAGAAATAGAATCCCACAATTCTGGAAATGTGATAAATCTGAACTCCACAACTACGTCATCACCATCTCCATTACATACCGATGGACTACAGAATCATGTGGAACTGGTCAAATGTTCACCATCAAATTTTAATTTAAAAAGAGAGGGGGGATCAGATTTCGGCAGGAAGTTGTCATTATCTTGGCTTAAGAGAATGACCATGGATCTTGCCCAGATCCAATGGAACCATGACGCACATCAATGGGAAGAATCAGCACAGATTGCACATAAATGCATGTGCTTACACGGCGTAGGGATTGAAATGATGGGTTCCTTAATTGGGTTTGAAGCCAACTCTATTCCTTTAGAGAATCCTTCAGAGCCTGTTGATTGTACACAGGTAGGACAGATGGTGCCCAATCTGGTTTCCAAATTGGAATCTGGAAAAGAATCATATGACTTCACGCTCTTGCTTCATCTGCAGAAAGTCCCCGTGTCGTTGATCATTGCCCCCAGAATCTTTTCTTTCAACTACCGCAGAACTTCCGTCAGTTGCTTTGTGGCTGCTGTTCCGCGCTGCAGGGACATTATGGTTGTGCTTTCCCTCATATGTGGTTATCACTGCCTTGGGATTTGTCGAAGCTCTTTCAACTTGCTTGCGGACATTACATCCAGGGCTGGTGCATTTGTAGTAACTCCTGCAGATTTCAACGGTGAGGTGTAAGATGAGGCTTCATGAGGATGCACACTGAGCTCGTGGGTAAGAAACAAGGGCTATAACGCTCGAAATAACGTGCTATGATCCTCATCCTTCTTACTATATTAACAAATGCAGAAATATCAGCCTCTAGAATGCTGGCATTGGAGCACAGACAGCTGCTATATTATGCGTTGATTTCCAGAGAAGATATGCTCGTCTGCTTGTCACTATCACAGAAAGTATTTGAGCAATAAAAAAGCGCCATCAATAGCAGTGTACATTCATAAACCAGATGAGCATAATTGGTCGTGGAAGGGAGGGGATCAGGAGGAAGTGATCTGATGTGATACTAGCTCGGAATCGCTCCTTCAAGCCATCTTTACAACTGACCAATCAAATTCCACTTAAAACACCCTGTTGGTCATGTGATCCTAATTATTCATATAGATCCAGGGGAAGATATCTAGTTACGGTTGAAATGGTAGTTCGCTGAGTAGAAGGGAGATTTCATCGATAGCCTGTTCACCAAGGAAAGTGTCAAAGATTTTCATTCTTTCATATGGGATTATTATAGCAGAGAAATAAGTCGTTTTTGAGAATCAATCGATAAAGGGTTCACAAATGGATATGCAATAGAATAGTTCCAGGTATCATATTTACTTATTACTTTACAGAATCCATTGAAGTGCCCGCGCATGCATGATCATTTCACATGTTCATTAAGAACTTTCAACGTCTTCGCTGCTAGATTTTTTTGAAAGATCACTGCATTGCAAAGAACGAACAACAATATGGGCTTCTTGAAGGTTAAGGCTTCTGAACTGAAGATGGGAAGGAAAAAAACCTCTGACAGACGTGATCTATAATGCACCATTTTGTTTCACTTGACAAAGAGGTAAAATGGTTTCCTAGGAGACAGATTCGTCTAGTACCATTTTCTTATCTCTACACGAAAAGAATTAATTACCTCGGATTAGGATTTCCTTTAACCACTTTTTGACCATACTTCCGCCATCTGTAGCCATCGTCTAGAAGATCAACATCACTTGTGGTCTGCACAATTATCCTTGGTTCTGTGACTGTTCTATGAGAAGAACTTGATTCAATCGCACCGGTTTGTAATTTCCTGTTCCATTAGCAAGATTTACTTAGAAAGACATGTCCCATATAAGTAACCTGTCAAGCGTTAGCTAAACACCAAAAAAAAAAAAGTACCTCCGTTTCGGATCAAGCTCAGCATCACTCCCTTCAGCTGTCCTTACTTCAGAAACATCTGCTTCCTCGTCATCGTCTGAGCCAGATGGCTGTTCGGATGATACATGCAGACGCTCCTGATCTCTTCTATGTGCTTGATCGGCTGGCACCTGCTCAATTAATCTATTCATCTTTCTCGCTTGACTTTGAAAACCCATGTCATCTTGAGAACCTGGTTCCAAATTATCAGCCAGATCGATGTTCCCATTGGGCTCACCTGAACCACCTTCCTTGGAACGCTTACTGGCGGGGGGACGCTGATGGCTGTGTTCCCCCTTATATATAATTTCCGTAACCTGCCCATCAAGAGACCTTTCAACTTTTTTCTTCACAGGACATTTCGAGTGAGTGCACTTGTAGTAACTCCTAGGGCACTCACTGCCCTTAACAACCTTCTGCCCATATTTCCTCCAGTTGTAGCCATCGTCAGAGGGTTTGTCAATGACGATAGATGTAGCTTGAGTTCTCTGTCTAGCCTGAGAACCCTCTGCTGTTTCTGAGACTGACGTCGAAGCTTCTTTTTGTTCTAACAGAGAAGAACCGACGGCAGTGCTATTGGGCTGTGCCCACGAGGCACCGTCTTGGGTTTCTACTGGCATCTGCAGATGGGAAGCAGAATGTGCTACCTGAGAAGCCTGAGCAGTGACGTGCGCCAGTGCCTCTTGGTGCGAGATCCCATAGGGACCCTGCGAGGTAAGAAATAAAATTATGAAGATAATCTACGAATTTTCCCCCGAGTACGGGCATCCCTTCTTCCACGATATGATGAGATAATCTATTTCCTGAATTATCTTTTTTTAATCTGATGCTTGCTGCGCAGCTTTATCTTTATTTTAGTTATCTCTGATCACATTCCAGCTGCTGGATAAACAGTTCATAAATAGCATTACTTTTCTAGACAAGAAAAGAAAAAAAAGAAAAAAAAAAGGAAAAATCTGAAAAGTCAGGACCCACTGGTGGATTACTTGTAGCAATGAGCATGGATCACGCCATGCCAATCCGATAATCGGTATTGAACAACGGAGCTGGTAAGATTTAAACACTAAATTCCTTTAGAACATCACTCCCCTTGCTGGAAAGCTACCTTCAAACTTGGACCACCCACCCACCCACCCAACCTCTTATGGAAAATTTACAATCTGACCCAAGTGGAGATTAGTCCGTTGGTGTGTAGTGTAGTCCCCAGATTCCCATCAAATAGATATAAATCATCCACAGGAACCAAAACTCAAACTCAGGCAAGTTCTTGATCATAAGTAGATTATCATCTACTCAAAGCATACTTCTAGCAGGAGGACTAAGTGGTGGAAGTGAATTATTTAAACAAGATGATGGCACATGAGTCAGGTTCCTGCCATTTCAGTTCTCAACTGTCTGGTTGAAAAGTGAACCTTATGAATGCCGTAAAGCTCATATGAAGCAATTAAGAAGAGATCCTCATTCAAACAAGGCATATTTTTTCTTCTCAGTCAGTTCTGTGCACTTTACGAAAAATAAAATAAAAAATGAACTGAATCTTCTGTCCCCCTGTATAAACTTCATGTGGACCCTTCGGAGGAGCGGACCCTGACCTCTCTGATCGGTTTCGCCCCCCTTCACTTCTAGGATCTAACTCCTTCAAGATTGGGAACTCTGATGCGACTGCGAAAAATCTGTGTTCTTGGTAGTTTGTCGCTCTGATTCTCTCTTCCTCCTTGATCTACTCTCTTGTTTTCTTCTTCTTCTTCTTCTTCTTCTTCTTCTTCTTCTTCTTCTTCTTCTTCTAGCCCCTGTAGACTGGAATAGGGTTTCGCTCCTTACAACCACCAGACACCCCCCCTTCAGATGATCTCCAGAGTTAGATTCAGAAAGATCTGCTCCACCGATACGGAACCATGGCGGATTACTTAGACGACACCAGGTACATCGAAGCATCATGCGAGACGTAACCAGGAGGCTGTTTTTCATCAGGGAAGCACTCACCGAACCAGGCGTGAAGAGAGAAGGAGAATCCAGCAAGGCGGCGACGCTGAGGCCCTGCGGCATGGTGAAGAACGACGGCGCCGCCACGTCCTTCTCCTTCCCCTCCGGCGGAGCAGCCTCCTTCCCGCCGTGATCCTCCGCCGTGGGGAAGCCCCACTGCGTCCTCCCCAAAATTGGTCCCACCGGAGACGCCATGGCCCCCGCCAGGAGTTGCGAGAAGGACCGGCAGTCAGATTCGTTGTCCTCCGCGAAGAAGCTCGAGACCGGAGTCATCGGGCTGAGGCTTGCGACGCCGCCGCCGCGGAAGTACCCGCCGCCACCCGTCCGCGGCACCCCCGCCCTTGACCCTGCTCCTCCCTCCTCCTCCGCCATCTCGACCAGCGGTGGGGGAAGAGCTAGCCGATCCCCTCCGCCGCCTCCCGCCCTTCGGAATTCTCCACCACCTCTCTCTCTCTCTCTCTGATCTCTTCGTCCTGGAAGAAGAGGGGAGAGGGATTGGGAGGGGGAAACTGGAGACGCAGAAGAGTGGGCTCAGCTCTTCTCTTCCTCCTCAAATGTCATTAAATTCCCTCTAAATTAACCCAAATGAAATCCAGGGCGTTGACCTAGACACGCTCTACCGACCAAATCAACGTAAAATCAGCTACCTCCGCCCTCTCTCTTCATGGTACTGTTCTATCCTCGCGGCTCATCTTTCACGTGCTAAATCCGGCTTTAATGGCGGCTAGAAAGCATGTTGTTGTTTCCCTTTGAGCCTTGCCCGAGATTTCTAATCAGGGCCCTCACAACTAAGCCCGAAAATATTTAAGCCCGGACCGACTTGGGCTCGATGTGAAAAACAAAAAGAAGGGTTTTGTGGATTATTTCTGGCATATTGTTTTAATAATATATTAGGATTATATCTCATAATTATTTCGATGTGAGCTCTATCTAAGTAGGACATTAATTTTCTGCAGGATAAATTAATTATCTGTATGTTAACTTTGGATGATTACAACTTGGATTTTTCTCTGGCAGAAGTATATATTTATATATATATATATAGATATATATATCTATATATTCTCGTACGAGCTCCCAGTTCGACATTTATCTCTTCTAAAAATAGAAAGCGTTTTCTGAACAGATTCGAAGTATTGGCATTATCTCCTATTCTTCCATTAATATACTATGCGGAGAGCGTGGAATGAGTCAAACAGATGGGTAGAGAGAGAGAGAGAGGTTGGAGGGAGAGATGAGGTCAGTTTAAATGACTGGATAAGTTGAGTGTCACGTTCTGCTGCTCAAGCCGTCGAGGGTCCACATAGAGAGAGAGAGAGAGGTTGGAGGGAGAGACATCGTCAGTTTAAATGACTAGACATGGTGAGTGTCATGTTCTGCTGCTCAAGCTGTCCAAGGTCCACATGGAGAGAGAGTAGAGAGAGAGAGAGAGAGAGAGGGCTTCAAAGCTCTTCACTGATGACAGTGAAGGGGCACAGCTGTGCTGCCCTTGGGCAGTGGAGATCTCTGGAGGCAGACCTCGACTGCGCCGACTTTAGACTGCTCACGCCCACGTGGGCGCCTCACGCTCGGTCCCCACATCCGTACACGACACAATCCAGCCGCCAATGGCCCGGCGGAGGTTATGACGTGGGTGCCACCTGCGAGCGCACGTCACTTGCATCCGCGCGGGTATGAGGTGGCATGTCGGCAAGCCCTTCAATGCCCACCGGCTCCGACTAACAAGTACTCGACAAATATTACATTTTTTAATCGTACAATTTACAAAGATACAAAAATTTCGATTTATTCGACAAATATGCCCACCAGCTCGGCAATCTCGCTCTCGATCAGATACCCATTTATTAGATTTATTCGTGAATAATTAAATTTAATGGGAAATATGTTTATATATATATATTGCTCATTATATAAACATAATTAGCAACTAATTAGCCGTAGGATGATAATCTTATAGCTGCAGTCTTACTCCTTTTCCTGATTAGGTGATTATTTTTTTTTTAAATGTAAAAAAATAAATCCATTGATATGATCACCTGAGCTAATTAGAGGGTGTGGCCCAGAGTTATATATAATGGCGCGCCAATAATTAGCAATAAGGTTTTCACGCCGTCATGAAATAATTAGGACATTAAGCGCAGGTCTAATAACTTACAGCCACAATGTCATTCATTCTCCAAAGGTTTCAGAGGGCCAGGTCCGTGTCAGGCATCGCCCCCAGGAGGGTTTTTCTTTTATAGTGCTCTGGCCTAGGCTAGTCCTTCTTATGCACCTCTTAGCAGGACAGAGATACAGATACAGATACAGATAGAGAGAGAAAGATATATATATATATATATATAGAGAGAGAGAGAGAGAGAGAGAGAGAGAGAGAGAGAGAGAGATTCTGAGGCCCAACCCCAGCTTAATAACACCGCATTTAATCACAGGATTCAATCTGATCCATGAACCAATTCCAATCTTTCCCACTTTGGTCAATCCAAAAATAAATAAATGATAATAATAATGAACCTTCCAATGAGAGAATTTCATATGAGAGAAATTTTCTAAATGCGGGAGTTTTTTTTTTATGGATATTTTCTCAACTGTCAATAAAATATCATAATATCCGACCTTTATGCCGGAATTGTTTTCCCTAGAGAAAGGAGAGGTTATGCTGAAAGAACTTCATCTGCTTCTCCTTCTTCCACAGCATGGCTCATACCTTGGTTTCCAGGAAGTAGGTGGAGGAGACGGGCAGACCCTCGGCGTCATATGTGCGGATGAGCCTCTGCCTTCGACTGGGGGACTCCATCCAGCAGAACTCCAGGTGGAAGGCCTGCATCTCTGCCACGCTCCTGCTGACGTCACAGGGGCATCCCACATACATGCCACCTGGCAGCAGGGTCATTTGGTAGCCCCCCTCGAAGGTCGCCATGTGGCCGGAGACCACCCCAGTCCAGTGGACCTTTGCGAGGGACCCACTTCCGCTGGTCCTGGAAGTCATGTCCTGACCAAGAACACAAGCCAGAGTTCATATGGAAGCAAACAAGGAGAAGTTATGCCCACCAAAATACGCCAATCTTTGAGATTTAGTGATGGGCAGGGTTGGCCCATCATCTCTACGGGCTCACCTGAATGATCCGCCCTTGGCCGTCCGTCTCCAGTTGTGCGACTACTTCGGCTTCTGCAATGGTCGATCCGTAGATGCCGCTTCTTTTGGTCACAGAACGACCTTCCCATCGGCCGAGCAATGGCGCCAACCTGTCGGCGTCTCCCTGCCAATGAAAAGGAGAGAGAATGCATCAGGGACACAGGCTGCAGGCTCGATCATGCACTCGTGCTTTTCCTCCATGAAATGGGCTATGTCGCAGGTGATCGCTTTTATCAGTTGCAAATCTCATCTTCAACCAGCTACGTCGGAGAACAAGAGAAGCCTCAGATGGTTTCTTGGATTATGCGGATTCTGGGTGTTTCAGGAAGAACATATCCTCATAAAATGGCATGAGATGAGATGGATTTGCGGAGCTGTTAATGGGTTTCACACCTCTGGGCTGTCCATTGAAAAGATATCTGGCACACCGCTTCCTCTTCCTTCTAGGAAGATGAGGAACATCTCGGGGACGCCCTTTGGATCCAAGATATGAAAAGCCCTGGCTCGCAAGTCCTTTTCAATTGAATTGAGGCAATTCTCACACACGAGGGCTGGGCGGCGAGAAGGAAGCATCAGATTCCTGCATTAAATCTCAAGGACGATGAAAAACCGGGGGAAATATTCCCAAGTGACCTGAAGAATACTATATGATATATCAATGGGATTGAAGAGAGGTTCGGCTGCAAAATTTCTGACAAAAATATACTGGGCTTGGATTACCATCTAGAAAAGTATTAAATCCGAGGAATCCAGGTATGACATATTGACTAATGTGGTAATTATGGGACACAGTTTCCATAATCTACGCAAATATTAGTGGAGATGAAAGGTCCATGGTTGAAACTGATAAGAAGCAGGAAACTATATACCAGAGATAATCGTGGGAGATTGGCTGGAGGAATCATATCAGATATTCAATCATCAGTAATGTGATTTCCGGAGATGATTCTTCTGCCTACCTCGGACATTCTTCCCCTGTGTCATCCTCACCGAGAACGCCAGCTCTGAGGACGGTTTCCAGCATCCCCGCAGTTTGGTACCTCAGAGAGAATGCCTTCTCTTTTGGGAAGAATCCAATCTGTAGACTACCCAGAAGCAACGCTCAAATAAAATGTAAGCGATCTCAGAAGAAAATTATATATATATATATATATATATATATTCCCATTTATTTTGAGATATTACTGGCCGCATTTTGGGTGCAACAATTAGATAAAAAAATTCAATGAATCGTTGAAATAATCAGAAGAAATTCAGCTCATGGCTTGGACTTCCGAGCTTCTGAAATTCACCTGCTGGTATTTGTCCGCGGTAAATATATTGGTCTCCTTGATCTTGTACTCCGTCCACTCAGGTTCATCGTCTTCCTCAGAAGTGAAGGTTCTTGAGGGTGCCTGTTTTATGTATAGCCTGTAAAGCCAGCGGAAGTCACTGATTCCATCTTCACAGCTATACACGTGGAAAATGGAGCGATGAAATCTGAATAATTTTCAGGAGATATGACAGGAAACACGAGAGAAATGCGCGTCATAGGAAAAATGAGGAGGAGCCAGTGCAGTGATCACAAAGGCAGGAATGAGATTGCAACGGGGAACCAGCTTACGTCTGGATGAGGCTGATAAGCTCGTCCTCCCCGTAGGAGCTCGCCGAGAGCCTGGTCGCCACATTCTGCAGTAGACTCCCTCGAGGATCGAATTGCTACATTGAGTAACATTAAAATCTCATCAGAATATTCGCGTTAACCTAAATTACAGGAACAGATACGGAGACGGAGAATCGGGGGTCACTCACATAGAAGGATCCGTTCCACTTCCCGACGTTGAGCTCGAAGAAGCGGCGCAGCAAGTCGATGCTCATAGTTCTACCCCCTTTCTCCCCATTGTCGCCCCCACGCTCCGCCACCGGAGAAGGCGACCCCCCAGCACCCACCCGCCATCTCCGACCTCGTTCGGCGGAGCTCGCCTTCTGCTCACCGGAAACCGACCTCGCTGGCCGAACACCGACAGCCACCGGAAGAAGCCACCGGCGATTCCCATCGCACCGCTCCCAATTCGCCTTCCGCCGCGCAGAAGTGGCCTCCGGGATCCCCACCGAGGCCGCAGCGAGAGCCGCCATCGGAGAAGTGAAGAAGATGAGAGGGGAGGGGCCGAAAACGGCCATCGGACTGAAATAATATTACCATATTATTATTATTATTATTTCCCCATATTAAAACCTTAAACACGTAACAAAAAAGAAAAAAAATGATAATTTCTGCTGATAATCTCTCTATCCAATAATTAACCTCATATTTTTTTTTAAAGTCAACCGCCTTCTCTCCACCAACAGGGTTGACTTTGGATTAGTGCAAACTCGTAATTAGACGTTTTTAAATTGTGCCAAGTGAACAATTAGACAAAGTCAACGAGAAATTTAATTTTTTTTGGAAAAAATGGTCGAATCGTAGTTTTCAGTGAAGAAGTCATAAAAATAAGGATAATATATTTTTTATTTTATTTTTGAATAATTTGTTAGATAGTTAAATTAAAATAACTGGACGGCCGTGATTTCGTGTGGGGGTTTACGGCTGCGATTAAGAGGAACATCAGCTAACACTCGAGACGGGAAGCTTGCAGGAATGTCGAGCATGGAGGACGAGAGTGAGAGGCCGATCGGCTCTTTCGAGGGTTCTCCTCCGATCGGCATCCTCAGGAGGCCGCTCCGATGCATCGTGAAGCTTGGTTAGGCTCTCTCTTTCGTCCTCCTCCCTTAAGACTGTACTTGTTTTTCCGTTTCTGTCAGATCAGAGATAGCCGAACGAAGGTGTTGCCTCTAAATTCTTCGAGATGTTTGTGCCCTTTGGATGTAGCTCATCTTTCGATTATGTGTACTGATTTTTCGTCTCCGGATCGCTAGCTGGTTTCAGGAGTTTGTATGTACCAATTTTTCGGTTATCCACAAGAATGCTTGCAAGCTTTCAAGGCGTGGAATGATTTATTCCCAGTTTCTCTTCGTGGGCGATCACAGCACTTTATTGTTATTTTTATTTTTTATCGTCTTATGAATATTGATACGCATTACCGTTATATAGTGTATTTATTCGCGCAGTCTCACCACTCTAATTCAACGTGAAAGGAAGAACAGGGGAGCTCTTTTTTATTTTCATATTCTTCTAGAATATGTAAAAGATGTCGTGAAATTTCAGAAGATTAACACATATTTTTATCTGGGTCAGGTGGTGCTGCTGTCACCTGCAAGCATGAAGTTGAGAAGATCAATGAAGAAGATCTTGGACGAGTTTCATCTCATCTGAGACAAGCAATGATGGGATGTGGGCCCGTAACAGAGGTTCTTGGAATGGACTGGAGCAGGGGAGCTGGGGCAGCTGGAATTGATTCAATCAGTGATTTTAATGAATATGCGATACCGAATTTGGAAAGTCTAATCATTGTTCACGGAGCAGGTTGTCAGGATCTCTTTTCTCCATTGGAACATTGATAATGCTTTGTAACTCTTTGATAGGGCCTAAATATTACTACCTGACTTATTCTGAGAGTCTCTACGAACATGGCAAGAGGCAATTGCTGCTGTTGACACATACCCGCGTTTATCTCGGATGACCAAACTAGTATTCTCTGTTAAGTCATCATGGATCGATATAATGTTCATCAGAACACTTGCTTTGTCTGAAACCATGGAAAGCATAAAAAAGACGGTCTAGTTTTATTTTTATTATAAAATAATTTAATTTCGTTGGTAACATATTTATCAAATAATTTAGTGATATTATAATAAACATTTTTTAAAATAAAATATTATTTATTTTATTAAATTACTTAGGGAAAACGAATAAAAACAGAAACATCTTCATTGTAGCATTGATCACGAGGAACATTTTGACTTTTCTGCTCATCTAGCAGGTTCATGGTTTGTGAAGCACCGAAAAGAAAATAAGCCTAGAAGCAGATTGAGTAACTGGTGCATTGCCTAATTGACCTGACAGCTTTCAATTACCAGTTTTATCGGTACTCTGGATATACATGCAATCAGGATCCATTTCGATTCATCAGGAATCTAATTTAATGTCTACTATAGTAGAGATCACGTGAAAGATGTTACTTCGTTGAGTTTCTTAAAATATTTTTATTTTCTTTCTTATTTGTTGATTTCAACTTACCTGAATTGTATCCTATTCTCTAGGTTCATTTGGGCATTTTCAGGCAAGCAAATCAGGAGTCCACAAAGGAGGATTGCATGTGCCTATTGTTAAGGCTGGCTTCGTGGCTACACGCATTTCAGTGAGTTCTTCCTCAGCTCGACATGCTCTAATACGATGGGGTCATAGTTGTGATATAGTCGGATTACATTCATGATTTTTTTTCAATTATATGCGATTATAAAAGCTAACAACTGGATCAAGAATCTGCCTTTAGCATCGTCCTTTCACTCAGCGATTTCAGCCTCTTTGTGAGGGTCTTATCTTTCAGGAATACACTAGGAAAGTACTTTTATTGCATATATCTTCATATATATATATATATGAGTCATGTTCTCTCTTAAGATGCACCTTCACGGTGCATTTTATAGATAATACTGTAAAAATTATTTTATAGATGCATTTTTTTTTTGGTACAAGTAGATGTGGCGTATATTTTTTCCAAAAAACCTATAGAGATATATGAATTTATTTTTTCTTCATTATGAGATTTATTATTTGTTTATATGTCAGTTATTTGTCTACCACACGTTCGTCCGTTTTCTCGTACATCATCGTTTGTTCTGAATTATAATTTTCTTGGGCATTGCATTTGCTAGTATTTGTTGACTGGCATGCTGCAGCCATTTGACTTTCATAGAGGGACTTTCCTTTTCAAGTAGACTCTTCCAAAATGGTGGCGGAATCTCTGAAGTCGCTTCCTGGTCGTGTGGGCCTTGTACCCACGGACTTGGGTGTGCGATTAGTTTGGAGACGAATGCGTGTGTCACTGTGTTACTTCTTTTAATTTTTTTATTCAGGAATTTCCATTCACCTACAAGACATTCTAATTCTCAGGGTGAATTTTATCAGGATGTTTTATTGTAGACTAAGTGGCTGTAAGAGGACCTATACATTTTAAGATTTTATTGAGGACAAATCGAGTACATTTCTTTTTGAATGAGAAGGGGGATGATTTTCTAGTGGTGAGGGTTTTGAGCCTCAGCCTCAGAAAAAGAAGAATGTGAGTGAGACACTTGGGCATATGGGAGGAATTCTCTCTTACCACTTGATCCTGCTGAATTTTCTTATTTAATTCATTTAATCTCTGAATTTCTTATAGAGTATGCAGTGGGATAGTGGTCAACTGAAATTACTCTGAAGTATTTTCCTTTTGTAATGCTTCAGGTCACATCACTCAGTCTTGCGATTGTGCGAGCCCTGGCTAGAGGTTTATACAACTTGCTTTTCTGCGTTGTCATTACAATCAAGTGGCCCAAAATCCTCTCCCTGTCAGACCGGATATGCCTCTTCATTACCAGCTCCTAACTTTGCATTCATTATTTCTAAATTTAAAACTTTCCTTATTCCATAGAATTTGAAAAGCGATTCTCGCAGGAACCAGTGTCATATGGTTTATACATGGCATACCTCGTAAACTTATGTTAACTATTTGGCTGAAGAACCTTTCAATTTTTTGGCAGAGGGGATACCGGCTGTTGGAATGCCACCATTTGCTTGTGGATGGTCGACTACTGAGAGAAATGTTAGATACATGGCATCACTTTGCGTTTTTTTTTTTAGAGCGCAGAGGTTACTGATTTGATCTAATATAAAATTTACCATCCGCGTGTTATAAAATTTCATTTCTGGTTTTGTGTTTGCACAGACAGGAATATTGAATTTAGTGCTACGTGATCTTTACAGGTTGCTTCTGCGGATATTTATCAGATTACTCAAACCCTCAATGCTGGCCTTGTCCCTGTAAGTGTTCAGTAAAGGATATTACACTTAATTTCAATCCGGATTCTAATTTTGATTTTTGACAGCATCGATTCATTTTTCAGAATAGTTTCTGCAAAATGAAAATTGAATTTCGACAAACCAAAGAGATTGATTGACGTCTGGACATTTATACTTTTCCCACTTGAACTTGCATTCTTTTTGAAAGTTGCCACTACCATGGCAATGTTGTGCTTAGTATCATTGGGGGCCTATCGAACTTGGGAGGTAGCTTGCTCAAGTGTACACGCCTAACAAAAAGGCCCTGTGAAGTATTATCCATAAAGCCTTCGTGGATCTGACTTTGCCCTTTTTTCTTTAGTCAGCAGCTTAAATGTTCCTTGCAGATGATCCTGATAACTTTCACATCCTTTTGATATCGATAAATATCTTGAACTCGGCTGTAGAGTAGATTTCTTTACCTGTATACTGATTCTTCTCAGGGCTGCAAGTTTCTGCATACGTATTCTTTTGTCAGGAAACCTGCTTTAATGGCATGGAATCGGTAACAAGTTAGCTGCTGATCAGAGTCTTTCATTCTGAATAAGATCATGAGGCTTTTCATGCCTGATTTATTTCTATTTTTATCAAATATATGTGTGAAATATTCCATATTTGGTAATATATGCCCGCTGAAATCATCAAGTTTGCCCGTATGGCCAGAAATCACAAAGTAAACACGTTACTATATTTTATTAGGAGTAAAACGGTGATCACAGGGCGATGTTGACTCCTTTATGGTTGAGTTCGAGGCAATGTATACTCACAGAGAGTTGCAGTGTTATAGGGGTAAATAAAGTAGTTTATGATCTAAATCATACAAATACAGACCATAGAACGTTGAGCAAGCCATAAAATATGGTTTTAAAGGACTATAGGGGTAAATATCAGCCATCTATTCATTTTGATTCTCAAATAAATAAATAAATAATATACAGGTTTTTTCTTCCAGGTATTACATGGGGATGCGGTGCTGGATAATCAACAGGTATTGCATCTTCTTTCCATTTTGAAGATATCATCCAGTATGCCTTCAATAATGACATTTTTCTTGCCCTTTAGATCTAATGACGAAATGAAATGATTTTTTCCAGGGCTGCACCATACTAAGCGGGGATGTAATAATCCGACATCTTACGCAGCAACTGAGGCCTGAATATGTTGTTTTCCTCGTATCCGGCTTGACTATTTATGCTTCATTTTTCCATTTATCTCGATGATGTCTTTTTGTTTATGTTCATTTATTTTCGAATAATAGGAGATTTTTATTTTATTTTATGGTGCCAACATGCTTTCTCTTCCCTCATTTTATGTTATTTCTGGAAGAAAGAAGGAAAAAGAAAGAGATGAGTTATTATTTTATGCATTTTTTCTTCCCATGACCTCTCAATGGGCTTTCTTTATTTGAATATCTCATCCAACTCTATGATTCATGCCCACTGATCTTTCCATTTTAGTAGTCATCGGGTATATGATGCCCGGTGTATTTTTTATTTTCTTTCCTACACTCACCAGCGAAGACAGATGTTCTTGGTGTATATGACCGGCCTCCTGCCAACCCCAAGGCAGTGCTTCTGAGAGAAATTGGTGGGTGTGGAGAGTGATTTCCTCTCCCTTGACTGGAATTTATTTAATAATTTTTCGACCCCAGAAAGTAATTTATTGATCAGGTTTAATCTTCCAATTATAGTAGTTTTTTTGTTCGTATCAGATTTTCTTGACTTGGGCTTCTGACCGAGGGATTTTTTATTGATGGGCAACAGCTGTGGAAGACGATGGGCGATGGTCTGTTGTGAGCCCTCTGATTCAGCAGGCAACAGGAGAAGGTACAGTGGAATCCCTACCCTCCATTGCTAAAGTCAACGTTCCTTAAGTAGATTTTTTTTTATCTGGGCTGCCCAAGATCGACGTGGTCTTCGTCTAGTTTTGTTCATGCCTGGAAACTTAGAGAGAGAAACCCGGGATAGTAGAGTGTAGGGGACCGTCGGGCCTGTTTTTGGGCTTTTCTTTGGCCCGGGTTTGTTTAGGTCTTGTAAGTTTTGCTTTCTCTTTTAGTCTGGGTCAAAGTTAGATTTAAATCCGCGCCCTCCTAGCTGGTGTAGATGAAAGTTTTCCAATTTGCCAGGTGTCGAGATCACAGTGGCTGCCCACGACACGACCGGCGGCATGGGGACAAAGATCTCGGAGGCCGCAGCAATAGCCCGGCTCGGCATCGATGTGTTCATCACCAAGGCAGGGCAGCTTCTCTCTCTCTCTCTCTCTCTCTCTCTCTCTTTCTCTCCCTCTCGGTTAGTAATTCCTCTCAGTTCTGCTCTCCATCCACAGCACCTCAGACTCTCTCTCTCTCTCTCTCTCTCTCTCTCCCTCTCGGTAAGTAAGTAATTCCTCTCAGTTCTGCTCTCCATCCGCAGCACCTCAGACTCTCTCTCTCTCTCTCTCTTTCTCTCCCTCTCGGTAAGTAAGTAATTCCTCTCAGTTCTGCTCTCCATCCGCAGCACCTCAGACTCTCTCTTTCTCTCCCTCTCGGTAAGTAAGTAATTCCTCTCAGTTCTGCTCTCCATCCGCAGCATCTCAGACTCTCTCTCTCTCTCTCTCTCTCTCTCTCCACAGGCTGGTACGGATCACTCCTTGAGAGCGCTCAGGGGGGAGCTCTTGGGAGCCAGCGTTGACGACTGGCTGGGGACCGCCATCCGGCCGGCCCAACGGCCTCTGCGTTGACCCTCTTGAAGAGCAGGCATGAAGCTCTTCTGGATAGGGGCGGGCTTAGTAAGACACGATGTCTCTAAAACATGGACGAACCCTACTCTCTCTGTGATCTCAATGGAACCCAGATTCCAACCGCGGTCTCTCTCTCTCTCTCTCTCCTCTTTTAAAGGAAGCTGACTTCCTCTCTCCCTCTCCCATCTGACCCACTGCCCCCTCTCTCTTCTCTTTTAAAGGTAGCTGACATCCTCACTCTCTCTCTCATCTGACCTACTCCCCACCCCCCCTCTCTCTCTCTCTCTCTCTCTCTCTTACACTGGGATCTGAAGATAGAAAATTCAACGGTGAGACATCGAGATAAAAAAACAGCTGGGAATGTAAGAAGCACCTCAATATAATTCTTCAAACCACCAGTCATATATATATATATACGCATTTATAAATCTTCCCCTGTTACCGCATCTTCTTCCTCGCACAGAATCTCTCGATAGTATGGGAGAGAGTGCTTAGAGAGAGAGAGTGATAGATAGAGATAGAGATAGAGATAGAGATAGAGAGAGGGGAGGGGGGTTTTGGGGGAGGGATTCTATTGCTACTTCTGACCAATGTCCTTGAGGGAGGAGATCTGCTCTTCTCCCATGGCGGACATCACCGATACGACCAGGTCCTTCCCCTCCGCAAACCCGTCTTTAATCTGGAGATACAATCGCACGGTCAGGGGAAGATCATCGCAATACATCGTTCAATGATGAATTGGGTATAGTCCAACGGAAAAATCACAATCCAGGAACACAGGAGATAGAGAGAGAGAGAGATGAACTTTACTGATAAAATATTTGATACACTATAAATCCTTAATTTTGAGCAAACCCAACCAACAACGAATGTAACTTTTTCCAGAAAAAGAATAAGCTAGAGAGGGAGAGAGAGGGAGAGAGAGAGAGAGAGAGAGAGGTATCCCAACAATTTCCTGTGTTATCAATTTCTAAGCAAATCCCTGAGATAGAGAAATTGAGGAAAACTGATCTCCCCCCCCCTAAAAAGAAAAAAAACTCGAGCGAAGGAAGCTTCCTCTTTCTGGTTCTATGTTTCTCTCTCTTAGCCAAATAAACACTGCACTCTGAGACGTAGAGCTAAGTAGAACAATCTGTTGAATCCTTAACCAAGAATAGAAACAAAAACCCTGAATCTTATCCAAGGCCCCATTACTGTAACAAGAACCTAACGAAGGCATAGAATCCCAAGATATCAGAAATATTCTCATCATGCAAGAAATTAACCAGATGAAGCCTCATCTTGATCACATAAGGTCACAATCTACCCCTCAGAATTGAGGTTCTCATAACCACTTACAGCTTTTAAGATATTAAAACTTGTTGAATGCTTTAAAACATACTAACTCATTAATCCCGCCTAGTTAATTAACTAGATTGAGGCATCATGCATGCAATGTTACCTGAGAGAGGAGGGCGTCATCAGTTGGAAGCCGCAAGTCATCCTTGGTGCTGCCATTATCAGTCAGCAGGCTCACCTGCAAGATGCAGCATCGGCTTTAGAGAGCTTCAACTTCACAAGAAAATATTGAGCAGATAGATAGAGAATGGACACATACAAATCCGTCTTCAGAGATATCAATCAACTGATAGTCAGTGCGGTTGACATGAGGAACCTGATAAGAATTGGAAACTGATAAATGGCGCTGTAATATGATTACAACAATAAAAGATTATGAATTGAATTCCGAGGTGATTACATCACAGTTATGAGAAGAGGGAACGATATCTTCCAGCTTCTTCCCATTGAAGATATCAATTGCAACAAAGTGGCACTTTGCATGGCCGTGCTTCCCGGTCTTGGATGTCGAAACCTCAACAACCTGGTCCATTAATAACAGAAAACCGAACGGCTGAAGAACTTTAAGCATAAATAGAGTAAAGAAATGGAGAGCCAAATGTTTAAGGAAGACGAAAGACAAAAGAAAGATGGATATTTTTTATTAAAAGGAATGATTTTTCCTGCTGCCTCATTTAAAAAAAAACTTTGATTCGCAATTAATACTCTCACACTGTCTAATTTCCTCCGATGAAAACAAAGCTTTCTTATACACTCTTCCAATTTTCCCTCTACACAATGAAGTAGGTAGAAAGAACCGAGTACAAGAAGAATAGAGATAAACTTTCATACACAGTTTGAGTATAGAACTCAAACATGAGCCTGCATTCTCGGAGTAAAGAGACAAAATTCTGACAATGAAATAGAGTTCCTGACATCTATATATTTCTCTTAGAGATAAAGTTGTCAAAATATTTTAAGGATCCCGCCCAATTACAATCCAGACAAAGAAGAATGCATGAGACTCACGCTGATAGAACATAAGTGGGAAATGCACAACAAAAATAAATAAATCAGAATCATGAAAAAAAAACTGAATATTTACTAACTGTGACTCGGAGACGAGATAAATCAACATTAGAAACAAGTAAATTAGACGAGTTTCTGTGAAACCATTTTAAAAAGCGCCCAAAAGCAGCTGCTCCCTGATCTTATGGAGTCAATTCAAAATTCAGTGGGAAAGCGGAATAATTTTACGCGATTAATACAACATATCCCAAAATTAGGTCCATCTACCATAAAGATCAACGAGATTTAAAACTGAGTCTTCTAAAAACACTCAGATCCTGGTGCAGTCGTCTTTAGACCTTGCAAACTCAAAAGTAAATAAATCCCACATCCTGCAGCAGTTTTGTTTCATCTAATCTGAAGCAATGATAACATTACAAGGGATAACAATTCAGTGAGCTTTTATAGAGGGTAATGCGCCCCCTTTTAAAAAAAATTTCTAGAAATAGATGGCTTCATAAATAAATGGATTACGTCTTTACAGTCATGTAACACTGCATCCAACAAATGAAAAACCCAGGCTGATGCATTGGCGGACTTGACCAATCTAAGGAAGCATGAAAGAGCTATATTTTCACAAACCCCCGAGATAACGAAGGAATTGATTCGACAAACAAACATGACTGCAAAATCGAACAACAGGAAAGTCTGACAGAACAACCAAAAAAAATCAAGAGCCCATTACGAACATGCTGTAAAAATTCAGACCTCACAGATAAACAGCAATAAACCTAGTTCACAGAGGACGTGACAGGACCTCATATGAAAAAGATAATGCCACTAGACCTTAAAAACGAAACCTTATTGAACTATTTGCCAAACAAAAAAAGTTCACAAAATTTAAAGTACCCACCACGATTTGTTAAAAAATCTCACAAAAACCAAGCAGTAAGCATACGACACCATTCCACGATATATACACATGAAGACGAACGCACAGCTGGGGGAATCCCAGCCGAACTTCTAGGGATATTAACGATAACAAATAATATGCACATGGACAAGCACAGATCTCAGATCGCCAAGCAGAAACGCACCTTGCACGGCCTTCCCTTGATCACGATGTAACCATTCTTACGGATCGTCCCAGCCTGCTGCGGATATGTCTTCGAGGCCCCGGCGTCGGTCGACTCGAAGTGGTGCTCCTCGTCCGACATGATCGCTACCGAAATAAAAAACAAACCACCCTCAGTCAAAGATAAACCTGGGTCGGACAAGATCAGAAAATTCGTAACCCTAAAACGCACAAAGATCAGAAAAAGACGAGGAAGAAGAGGAGAGGGAAAGAGAGATCAGACTGCGGAGATGGATAGGGTTTCACCTTGCGGGAGTCGCTTCGACGGTGAGATCGGAACAGCAGACGGCCAGTGTGGTGAGTCGACGACGATATCAGCGGCGAAGCGGGAACGTTTATATAGTCCTACCTTCCATCAAAACCCCCGGCCCGGACGCGTCGTCGGTCTCAAATTCGTTCTAACCCTCGCCTCGCGTCCGGTATACAACTGACCGTTGGATCTAATCGGGTCCTCGCGTGCATAATACGCGGTGTCTTTGTGGGGCCCATCCAAAAATGCAATTTTCCTTCGGATTATATGTTATTATTATTATATGTATTTATTTTAATAATTGTGGGCCATATTTTCCCCAAAAAATGCGGATTTATTTTCTAAAAATATACAATCCGTTCTACGCTCATGGCGGCGGGTGGCGGCGCAGACCAGGACAGAAGATATTCCGGGTTTTTGAAAAAAAAGAGACGAAAAATGCCTCGAAGAAGAAGTCAACCATTCGCACGCTTAGGGGACACTCTTGAGCGTCCCCCTCTTCAGCTGTAAGACGGAGGGAAGACGTTGACCGGGGGGCATCTCTGCCGCCGGCATCTCTTCGTCGTCCTCCCCCACCCCGGCACGCTCCTCCCGCTGACGGCGGCGCGTTGCTGACCCAGATTAGCGGCGGCGGCGCCGCCGGTGGACTCGGCGGTCAACGGCTGCCGCCCTCTCCTTCCCTGACGACGGCCACCTGTCCTCCGCATCGGGCCCCCGATCATCTGCAAGTCCTCGTTCACCTCTTGCCTGGAAAGGGAGACCAGCCCGGGGAGGATGTCCCTCTGGAAGTCCCTCCGGCGGCGCCGCCGCCTCGACTGGCCTCCCCTCTTACTGGTCAACAGCAGATGCGCAAACCCTTCTTCTTCATCATCATCACCATCTTCTTCTTCTTCTTCCTCAGCCTCCGCTCCTTTCTTGGGTCTAGAAGAGAAATTTTCCCAAAATCTGGTCTCAGTCAGATTCAGCGCCGTGCGCTCGAAATAATCCATGCCGCCGGAATCCGACGGGGAGCTTCCTCGGTCGCCATCTCCCTCGAGCCCAGCAGATTCATCCACCATCGTCTCCCCTCTGGACCCATCACAGGCCGCCACTTCGGCAAACCATCGGAGAGCTTCCGCCGGAGATGGAGGCTCCGTCCATCGGGCAGTTCCGTCCAGTCTTATCTTGAGAATCGTCTCCGCCGCCGCAGCCACTGCCCTCTCTGGATCTTCCTCTTCCAGCTCCGCCGATTGGAGCCGCTGCCGGTTGACCAGGGAAGCTGGTTCCGGGTCTTCTTCCGGCGGAGATGCTGGCGGCGCCTCCAAATCGACCTCGAGGACGAAGCTTGTTGCTGAAGAATTCAAATTGATATTCCCCCGAGATGGGTCAACTGTCGCGTGGAACAGCTTCTGCGGCAATTTGCTGTGAGAAGATGAATCTGCGACGATGACGACGTCCTTGTCTGAAGAGATCTCCTCCGGGGAGGCGGCGGTGAAGTTGAGCGCCGCCCGCTGTTGGAATTCCACTCCTTTCCCTTTCAAAACCGGCGGCGAATTCTGAAGGGTTTCGACTTCAGGAGCACAGAGGTTTGACTTTCGTCGGCAATGTCTCTCTGCAAAAGTCAACTCCTGGAAGCCATCCTCGCTGCAGGTCACAGACCTGTTACAGCGTGATCCTCCCGTTCTCAGCCAGGGAATTCCTCCCGACGGGCTTCCCTTCTTCCCCTCTCCACTGTCGCACAAACCGTGAAGTCCACTGGGAGGAGAGTATCCATTGTCGTTGACGAGAGTTGACTTCTTATAGTGATTATCCCCGATAAGAGACCAGGGCACTGATGATGAAGAACTCCCATGATGAAACACATTAGAGTAGAGTTGGGCCTCACTCCCCATTCTCGGCATTGACCTGAAATTATAATTCCACGGCCATTTTCAAATAGTTTCTAAATTTAAACAGAGATGACTCTGAGCATTTGACGGCTATGTACCTGCTGAAGGGAGGGAAGGCGTTGACCGGGCTCAAGCCAGTCAGAGGCTGTCTCCATTGGAAACCCACCATAGAGGTCGCCTTGGCATAGTCAACGCCAGGTAGGGTTGACGGAGGGCTAGACGATGCAGTTGGGCCTGAGAATCCTGGATACTTAAGATTGCTGAAATGAGAGGTTCTATCAGAGGTTTCCATCCCCTGAGATGGCGGCTTCTCTTTCAACCATGAGAAATTCCGAGCATCCATAGGCTCGGATGGTGGGCCCGCATTCTTGCTGACCACACCAAGAGCGAGGGAATTTGCATGGCTCCTGGCTTGCCCTGTGGAAGGAAATATATATTTAGTAAATTACCACAATAAAAAAGTAAACTCTCCTAGATTGCTGAACAAAGGGAATCGTATTCTCTCTCTGATCACAGGATAATTTGAAATTATGAATATATATATTCGATAATTGGATTTTCAAAATGGGCATAAAATAACCTGTACAATTACTAAATTATCACAAGAAAAAAGTCAACTTTCCTATTTTACCGAACAAAGAGAATCGGATTCTCTTCCCCATCAAAGTATCATAGGAATCAGCCCCAAAAAAAAAAAAAGATTGCTAATAGCAGCCGACTCGATTTCTAAAAAACGTTGATTAAAAGTTCATGCTGCGATTCTGTTTCTCATGATTTATCTATAATTATAAATCCATTAAAGGGGGTGGAAAAAAAAGGCCGCTCTTATAGACAGATCTGACTAAAGGAGATCTTACCGAAATCGTCCCGAAGAAATTGGTGGCCCACGAGACCTGAAGATGACACCGTGGATCTCTGCTTCCCTTGAAGATCTTGATAACAATTAGCCTGAAATGGAAATTTTCTGGAAGAAGCAGCTGCCTCCTCCAAGGCCTCATCTCCAAGGGGCTTGTTCAGGTCATCCAAGCAGGGAGGGCTCTGAGAAGTTGCGAGAGTTAGCCTCAGACAGCTCTCGGATCGAGAGGCAGAGTTTCTCTCTCTAGGGTCGCCCGGTTCAGACAGAGGCTCGACAAAAGCTTCCACTTTTGTGTCTTCTGCATCCTCGATGTCAATGTATGCTTCAGCCGGGAGCTCAAGGTCGAGCATCCTTCTTGGAGGCTTCCTGACCCCCCCCCTCCCACCGTTCCTCAGACTTGGGGAGCTCGAATGGCTGGACCCATTCATGGCGTTCTCTGAATCCTTGCCGCCTGGAGAAGGAATCCCGTGAAGATGAGGTGATGGAGGTGGCCGCTGGAGGAAGAAAAAGCTTCGATCCCTGTTCTTCTTGAGTTCTTCCATCAGATCTCTCTGTTTTCTATAAAGACGGTGGAGTTCAGACACCTGCATCGGAGGAAAAGGATCTCATAGAGTGAGAAAATTCTAATTTTCTTCACAAAAAATTACCTGGGTTTTTCAAAAAGTTTCTAAAACATTCTGATGGCATAAATGAAAAACATCAAAGTTCATATAATCACAAATTTATTTATGCGCAGAGGCTACTTTTCTACCTGTTTCCTAAAAATCGCGTTGTGCATGAGCATCGTCTGCTTCAGTGCTTCTCTGTCATGATCGAGGAACCCGTCGAGAGGCCTCGGTAGAAACCCATCACAGAATTGCCTGCTCTGCACCCGTTCTTCATAACATCGAGGCCGCCCGATCATTCCACCATCATTAAGATTGCTCATGGAGTAGTGTCCTGGAAAATGGTTCTTGCACTCCACTGTTCCCATTCCTGAAAAATCCCCAAATATAGATATTTTCAAAAAAATAAAAAATATGGCTGATACAGAGAAGAAAAGCAGTGAACAGAACCAGAATTGGTAATATTTTTAAAGGGTCTGGGATAAATATCTACTATCAGAACCCCAATAATATGCGATCTCTACATGGAACATATAACCAGATTTATCTAAAATTTATCTTCTATGAGCCTCTCAGCTATAAGATAGTGAGTTCTCTTCAAGAGTGATCTCTCCTTTGCTAGAATCATGGCCATGGTCCTCATCCTCGGAGGCAATTGTGAGGATTTTAGTGAAGGAAGCTACTGATCTATCTAGAAATCAACGATTGATTGAAAACCACGGAGATCTCAGGACTCTCAGTTGCGGGGAATCTGAAAATACCTGCTGATATTGATTGGACCGACCCAAATTACTGAACGATGATTTGTTTCTTTCTACTGAGAGGAAAAAAAAGAAAAAAGTAGAGGGAAAACATAGAAAAAATAGCTCTTTAAATGCCCAAGGCTGACTATCTGCAGAGATTCATGGCTGTGATTATCCTGGTGCTGACCACTTCCTGGCACCCTCTGATGAAGGAAGAAAAGAAGAAGAAGAAGATCACCAGAGGAGTAAAACCAGAAGATCTTGGTGGTGCCCATTGAATAAGGAGGGAGCCCAGTGTCTGCCCCGAGGTCTGAGCATTCATTCCAGGGCCCACTTGAGAAGGATCTTGCGCAATTTGGAAGGAACTACTCAAACACGATGAGCTATTCTGTTTTCCTTTCATAATCGCCATCAACCTGGTCCTTGTGCCGATCCAAGAGTCACCTCTGTCTGCTAATCTTGTCAGATTCATAATTTTACCCAATATTCAGCATGATTATACATTAATTAGAATCTGAAACATGGATAGATGTGAATTAATGTGCCAAATCTGAGTTCATATCATGCCATTGGCAGCACCCGAGATATTAGCACGACCAGTTTTAGAAAGTTTGCCACATTAATCTGTCACATTAGCCACATCCCAAGTCAACTCCTTCGGTAGATGGTCCACCTACATTGCCCGCAGGCATCCAATTAACCAATTCACAGTGTCAGCATTCCAGAAATAGAAAATTATTGTTCTTAATCCCATCAAAAACGGTGATCCTACAACTGCCAGATCGGAACATAGCACGATGTTCTTGCATTAAAGGTGACCGGAACCCCCACAAAAAAAAAAAAAATAATAATCTAGATCCAGTAAATCCCAAGAAAATTCATCAAAAAATGTGTTCTCACAGGTTATAATATCCATTCATGCCTCTAAACGATTATCTTAGAACAATGAAACGAAAGAGACAAGAGCAGCATATGCTGTGCTCCTCGCCTGGTCGAGAAGAAATGTCTCAGAAGCACCATGGACGTACCTCGATCTGGCGACCAGTCTCTAGCTACAGCAGAAAATAAAATATAATATAATATATATATATATATATATATATATATATATATATATATCTAGAGAGCACTGCGTTCTGTGCCCAGAAGGGAGAGGGAAAAAAATTGCAACTCACGCATCTGCAGATGCCCAGTTCTCCAATAATTTAGGAGCCTCTGGGACGGAATGCCGCGAAGTAACTCGAATCACCAAAATACTTAGAAAGGAAGTGAGCATGCAATAATCTTTGCATATTTTCCGTTTAACAGAGTTCTCTAGTGGATAAGAGAAAAAAAAAAAGGAACATATTAAAAGGCAGATTTGACGAGCAATCCGTTCATCGGAATCTCTGGGAGGACACAGGTGGGGAAGAAAGCCCATCTGAAGAGAGACATAGGAGGACGAAAGACGAAGGAAAAATTACCTGCGGGCCTACACGCCAAATCCTCGGCTTCTCATCCTCTCTTCGCCCGATTGCGCGAGAAGAGCCGGAGGAGACGGGAACCAGGTGGGCCTTGCCCTTCCACCATGGCAATTTGGTCCCGCCAGACTTCGCGTAGTCGATAGCCCCTCAGAGACGACAAATAGAGGCGACGGTACAAGCTCCAGAGCCCAACCGGAAAAGGAGGCGTCCGCAGGAAGGTGGGGAGGAGAAGCACGAGGAAGGAGGAGGAGCAGCGGTCACAGAGGAGGAGTAAAAACCCACAGAAGAGAAGTAATGAAATGAGGGAGGAGCGGTCGGCCCTGCAGGTCCGTAGAGAGGGGAAGGCGCCACTCAGCCGGCAGTCAGATGGGAAAATGTCCTTCACCTGAGCCAGCGAGAGAGAGAGAGAGGGAAAGAGGAAAGAGGAGGGGAGATCCCAGATAAGAAAATCTCCATGAGAACAAACGACCTTCCAAGAACAGTGACAGGAAATTTGTCAATATCCGGTCTACTTATTCTCTGCCTCTCCCATCCCCGGCCCTGATCGACCTCCACTCCACCTTCTTTTCCACTCTTCACCCATCAACGGCTCCAACTCCTTCTAAATTACCCAGATAAATGAATCATGTTCGCCCCCACCCTTAGATTCTGGAGGAAAACTAAACGGGCTTGCCCCATTTTTCTATTCCTCGAAGGGAACCTTCTCGCCACACGAAAAGCTACCAGAAAGATGGCACGAAAACCAGAGAACTTTCAAAAAAAAAGAAGAAGAAGACGAGAAGGGAAATTATCGCTTGCACAGAAGAAGAACGCAAGACCTCTCCAGCTGTTCATCGGAGTCCAGTCTCCCGAGCGGAGTCCTCCCTCCTTTCTTAGGCAAATTAACTGCGCGAGCGCACATTTCCGCTCTCTTTCTTCCTCCCCCGGAGCTTTCCCTTACCGTCTGTTTATGTAGTACTCGCATCTTTTTAATATGGCAGTACGAGGCTGGGCCCAGCTCGGGACAAATCGAGGTGTAGTGTGCACGTTCCACGGCATGCCCTCCCATCTCCCTCTTACTACGAAACCACCACCACCACCACCACCACCATGCCCTTCCCCTCTCGGCTTATCCTGCTTATCCTCTAGAGAGAGAGAGAGAGAGAGAGGTTTATCGTAGATTTTTAAAAAAATATAATATTGCGAATGAAAGAAAAGTCTGACCTTTTGCCTGCGCCAGCAGAAGCTCACAAGTGTGTCATCCCGACCCAAGACGCATACCATTTAAAGCGATGCGTTGCATAACGGGTTATAGAGAGAGAGGGTCTTGTGGGGTAGGCATATTTTTTTACGTTCAAGTAAGAAAGACGAAAAGATTAAGGGATGTTGTTGAACACGCATGCTGTGTTTCTCGAAGAGATAGATACAAGGCATTCAGTAAACTAGAGAACCAACTTTGTCATAAAATGATCCCATTTATCGACAAAAATGTCAGTTTTTTCCGTGCCCACCAAGGAAGGGTGATTTCTCTACAAACCCACATGAAAAAGCTTGTCCATTATCGCGAGGAAGATCAAATTCTCTCTCTCTCTCTCTCTCTCTCTCTCTCTCTCTCTCTCTCTCTCTCAAAACCAGAAACATAGAACCAGGGAACGAGAGTGAGAATGACTTCTAGGAATAAGACAGGCCGACAGTTTTGGACGCAGATCCCGGGCTCCGCGGACTCCGACGAGTTCAGTTACCTCCGAGACAGGAACCTGTGGTTCCGTCGTCGTGGACAGAAGATTGGGGACCACCACTGAGATGTGGTCACCTCCCCTATGATGATGGCAACTGTGTTATTAAAGACAAGTCGAGGGGCTTTTACTTGTGGTGGGCCCCACATCCCGTCCTGCCATCCCGAGGACGATCTCCGCACGCGAATCTTCTACTTGAATATCTCTAAAATAGCCCCATTGTTGAATTAAATAACGGATATGCCATATTAACATGTATGACTAAACTATCCCTAATGCGCGGCTTTTTTTGTCCTATTCTGGACATTCCGGTTCTCCGTTTCTACGCCCGCGGTGGGGTCACTCTGGTCGCCCGGAGGTCGGTACCCAGAGTAGACCAACTAATAGTTGACTACCACGTGGCAGGATTCAGGCTGAAACCCGTGACGTCGCCTATGTAGATGACGTCATCATCATACGTGACTAATAAACCCTATTTTTTATAATATTATATTCGAGCCCAGTCTCGGGGCCGTAAAAATGTATCTGGTGGGGTTTGCCCGGGGCGAGATATAGGATGCAAGTGGATGCCACGTCACCACCTCCTTTCAATAGTAATGAGCCCACCTGCCCACCCTCTCCAGAGAGAGAGAGAGAGAGAGAAAGAGAGAGATCTATAAGCGTCTGCTTTGAGTCAAAGGCTGAGCCAGATTTGGGCCCACCTGTAGTTGGGCCTTTCATTTCACAGGCCCATTACCACTCTAATAACACGTGGACCAGATCCGTGATCGTGGGGCCCACCCGCTATCCAGGCAGCCAACCTCTCCCCCCGTTGACAACACCATTTTTAATAAATTAATGCGACGCATTTAAATTTAAAATGTTGACTATAATTTCCACACGGCGAGGGGTTCTGTCGAACGCGCGTGATCTTTACTCCCACTTGCGAAGTCCATCGACCACTCTATGCAGCCCGCCTGTTCAACTCGCACTTGCCAGGCAGGGTCCCACGGTTTCCTTGAGCCTCCCCATATTTATGTGCCGATCCTCAAGGACATTATTAAATTTTATTTGGTCATTAAAGGCCTTATATTTGATTCGTCAACGCCCAGAGGGCGGCGTATCGCCGACCGGATCAGCCGCCATCTGCGGCAGAAGCCATTACTGATCGACAGCTGGAAGAGAGAGAGAGAGAGGAGTGAGGAGAGAGGAGAGAGAGAATGTTTTTGCTGACGTCGGACAGTTGAAGGGTCAGCGTCTTATTAGGTCCAGGGTTCCAAGATACGTGCGGACCCACCGTGGGCTCCGAAAGCGACTTTATGTCGTATCAGCACCATTCAAATGGGCCCATTAACAGGCCCGACCGGGAAGAGGAACCCATTATCAGTGATGATAATGACCTCCCGGTACTCCATTATTAGGACCATTCGCGATCAATCCCTGTATTACTAATAATTTTCAATTATACCCATTCACGCCTCACGAGTGAGGGAGATAGAGTTCTTTCCGAGGACACATTCCCAATTTCCCATTATATAAATGTGTATATATATTTCGGAAATAAAAGATGCCAATTTTATAATTTTAACTAATATACGGTGGATGCCAATCCCCTGCCTACACGTGGCACCTGATGCTCTTTTTCAATCATAAATTTTAAAAAACGGTAACGAAAATAATCTTAGGAATAAGTTCGCGCTTTTTGCGGGCCCAAAATCTCACTTCGGAAGGCCCGGCAGCCTTGTTTAAGGCCCATAACACCAAAACACAAACAAAAAGAAGCCCTGACTAACCCTTGCAGAAATGATGAGAGAGAGAGAGAGAGAGAGAAATCTAAACAACAGTTGTGCATAGCAGTCGGAGAGACCAGCGTCGAAGGGAGGGGACGGAAACAGGGAGAAATAAATACAGAGCACAGTGCTCTATGATACAACAGAGAAAGAGAGAGAGAAAGAGAGAGAGAGGAGGGGGGGGCAGAGCACCTGAATGAAACTAGGAAGCGGGGACCTGCTGCTGCGGCGGCGGTGACGGCGGCGGGGGGGACATGGCGCTGAGGGCCTTGTACATGTGCGCGCAGGACCTGGAGAAGTCGGTCATGGCGCGGAAGAGCTCCGGGAGGTGGATCTTCAGGCTGTGGACGGACTTCTCCCTGGCCTGCTTGCAGAGCATGCGGTGGGTCTCAAGCTCGTCCTCCAGCTTCTTCTTCGCCGTATCCACGGGTAATTGCCGCTCCGCCACTTCCCTGTAGGGGGCGTCCTCCGCCCTCTCTGGGTCCATCTCCTCCTCCGCGTCCGCCGCCACCACCGGCCGCGGCTGCTGCTGCTGCTGCTGTCTTTTTGTTATGTAACTCTGGTGCCAATCCTCAAAGGCCTGCTTCTTCTTGATGAAATCCTTCCGGAGGTCCTCGCACTTGTCCTTCTGCTTGAGCTCCTCGTCCTGCTGCACAAGAATGGCGGTCACCACCTCTGAGAAGCTGCTGATGGCCGTCTTGGCCCGCTCGTCGGGGATCTTCGCCAGCTGGTCGTTCCAGGCGTAGAGGAACATCTGGATCGGCGGTCGCGGTGTGCTGGTCGGCGAGGAGACCTTCTCCGTGAGGCTGCTCTCGATGGGGATTAGGTTGAGGCGAAGCCAGTCGTTCAGGGCCTTCACGTACTTCTTCTTATTGCTGATGAGGTCCTCGAAGTGCTTGCTCCACCGGTTCGCCACCTCGCAGAGCTGGCTTGTCCGCCCACGCAGCTGCTCGGTCGTCTCCTTCACGGCGTTCGACACGTCCACGCCCCTGATGTCCTGCACCAGCTGCTCCTGGCTCTGGTGCTGGTGGAACATCGCCTCCCACATCTCCGCCATCCTGCCACCACACACCTCGGTCAGTCCGTCGATTCCTCCCTCAGCTATTCAAACAGCGCCACCAACAAGTCAACGCAAACAAGCCCAGTATATTACTCTCTCTCTCTCTCTCTCGCTGTGGCTCTGTTGCACCTGATAATCATGCAAATCCGCAGGTCTGTGTGTGTGGGATAAACACCTCATCAGACTGGTTCTCTCGAGTGCTCTGTAATATCCCCTTCTCTCTCTAGAACCTCACATATTTCCAGAATAGAGACATTTAACCTTTCAATCACCTGCACGAGCTCTATGTGTGCCTGGTTAGCTCTTGCAGGGAGAGGACGACTCTGACGATTTCAGCCAGGTCAAAAGTGTGAAGCTAGAGCTAAAGTTGACGCTGATTCAGCCTCGGCTATGAATGGGGGGTTCTGCAAGGCCAGGACTGGTCAGCTCTGTATCAGAGGTTGTTGGACTTTGCTGATTCAAGCAACCAAAAAAAAAAAATGCACATAAGAGGACTTCTACTTTGCACTCACTCTGACCGTGTTTTCCATTTGAATAAATCAGGGTTGACTAACTACTAACAATAACAAAAAAAGGGGGAAAAAAGGTACTATGAATCTTAGTAATGTTAAGTTGCACAAAGGATCAGAGCAATAGAATGAACTTATATAACCTAAGATTCATCATGCAGTTCAAGAATATGATCAAGATCTCTAGAACTTTAGAGCTTTTACGTCTATTAAAGACTATACCCGCGCACAAGCATGGTGAGCTTCTCGTACAGTTGAACATCTCGCAGACGCTGGATTTCCGAGACCGTCGAGTCCATTGACTGCATGTCGACGATGTACCGGGTGTGGAGGTGGCTCACTTCTGCTTTTGTGGCCGCCAATGCCTCAGAACTGGCACCGTGCTTCTTCTGCTTATTAAGCTTGGCAACCTTCCTCTGGTACTCAAGCTTCATGCGTTCACTCGCCTGCTCGCCACCAATAACGCGTAGCTTAATCAATGATAAGATGACAGCAGAAACAAAATCCACCACTTCGAGGGCAAGGCTATTCGATCATGATCAAAAAGTCAGCGAATCAATAGCCTAAAAGATACTTTGGCAGCAGAAAGAAAATCAACAGCTTCAGAGGCAAAATGGTCTGATTATGGTAGAAAACTTGGCATGACATCGATTATACTCGGTCATATGCCCAGATTTTACCTGAAATACAACATTGAACAACTAGATAGAGGTTAAATCTGCATGGGACAAGAAAGTAAGCGAACTATGAACCCCACGGTATTCAGAGAGCAGGAACACGGAGGAAACCACAAACAAAAGCGCATGCAACGCGAGTTTGGACTCCTTTTCATGTATAGATTTCCAGCGTATTAAGCCTGATTCATTTTAGCATCATCATATCGAGACACCCGACCGTTCACAGTGATCCAAAATAATGAATGCAATGAATGTGGAGTGCTGTATCGAGGAACTAGAAACTTTTGGGGAAGAGTATCGCATCATATGTAGAGCACTTAAGAAAAAAAAAATGTGAGGACGGAAATAATAGGGATAAGCATCAGCCAAAATCAAGCAGCAGACAATAATTTCTAGATATAAATTATTAATGTCTGCAATTTTCAAAGAGTGAGGTGGTCCAAGCTGGCCAAACCAAAAACCACATCGTGTTTTTCTCACATGACAAGAAATTCATTCAGCCTACGCATCTGAATTGCTAATGATCTGAGCCATAAAATAGGTGAGAAATAAATTGAGTAAATTTCCGAGCACCTTGACTTCATCACAAAGTTTCTTTTCCCACGCCAGCAATTTATCCAATATAGTTGCGTGGGTTTCCCAGCTATCCATATCAAAATCATCTCCACCCTCATCACCACCCAAACCTTTAAATGACCTATTCCACGTGATTGCCCGCATAACTCTCGCAGAATGATTGATGTGACCTGAAAATAGTCAACAAAAAATGTCAAGGTCAACCATAGGAACAAAGTATGGAGTCATAAAAGTTTAGAAACAGTGAGCTACGCACGAAGATGTCCGAATGCAGGTTTGGATACATCTATATCTACATGTTAGAACACACACAGTACACATCATTTCCCTTTGTGGAAGAACCCTAACGTCTTCTAGCCACGCATGGTGGTGGCAATAGAAGTGTGCCCCAAAACATGCTAAAAACATGAGGGCAGGTTATTCTTCAGAACAAAATAAAAAACCAGTTTTTATTTCTAGCCAAACCACATGTTCTGAGGAGAACTGTGATCAGGTAGATGGCACAAATGCACCTTATGGATCGAGACAGCACCCGAGAGGGTTTATGTGAAGATTTATATAGGGTTACCCAGAAAATAAGCAGAAGGATTATGCGTACCACGGTTATCAGCGAAGTTGGAGTGATAGTGCAGCCGCTTCGCTTCCAGCATATTGGACACATTTTGGGCACTGTCGTGTGCCTTAAGGAAGTGATCATCGAGGCTGTTTAGGATCTGCAGAAAAGAGACGGTCGGGGTGGTGGCCGCCGCCATTTTCGATCTCTTGGGATCGGCTACGCCCTTTTGCCTCCTCACCTGCTTGGAAGGCAAGGGAGGCTCCGTCATCATTTTCTCTGGGTTAACCGATGGGGGTGGTGCATCACCAGCGCCGACGGCATCAGCACCGACAGCTGCAGAAGCAGAGGCTGCCCTTTTATGCTTATCGACTCCTTGCCCCTGGTCGTCCTTCTCCGGTCGGATCTCTTCGGTGTCGGGGGGCAGCGGCGGTCTGTGGACGCTGTCGTCCGTGCCGAAGAAGTAATCCCACGAGCTGGGGGAGCTCTCCGCCAGCGGCACCGCGGTTCGGCTGGATTGAGACTGCGGCGCCAGCGGCGCAGGGGTGGAGCTCTGCGGGACCCCCAAATCGCGGCGGTCTTCGTCCTCCAGCTCGTGGCCGTCCTCCTCGCGGATGGAAGCATCCGCAGGGAATGGCTGATCGGCGGCGGTCCTCCTCCTTACCTTGGGGGGGGGGAGATCAGGCATGCTGGCGGAGCGCTGCAGAGGAGACGAGAATTCCGGCGGCGGAGGAGGAGGCGGAGGGAGCGTATCGTCTATAGCCGGCTTGCCGGGGGGCATCGAGGAGGATGACGAGGAAGAAGCCACTTCGGTGGCTGAGGAAGCGAGACAGAGGACGTCCTGGGCCTCCATCTCACCGTAGTCGCTGAGGGCGGAGCCGGTGTTCCTGAGGGCGACAGCATAGGCGGAGTGCGCCGACGCGAAGGCGTTGCGAGCGGCCACCGCCTCCTTCATAAACATCTTCCGCTCCTTGCAGCGGGTCACCGCCTCCTCGCCGTCGACCTTGGACTGCGCGCAGCCCATGGCTCCGCCGCCGAAACCCTGCCCCGCGATCCGCCGGAGATTGAAGTCGAGGGTTCGCTTTGAAAAAAGGGAGGACTAAGGAGACAGGGGACGGAGCCACTCACTTGTACGACCGGGGAGAGAGAGAGAGAGAGAGGCAGTGGAAAAGCCAACACAAAATAATCAAACAAAAAGTAGGGGGAAGAGGCGAAAAGAAAGTGGCCAAGACATTTAAGGAGGAACAAATCTAAAGGAACCTAGACAATATCTCATCATACTGGCATATACCTAGAACATTGCATGATCTACTACTATGTAAATAAAAATGGCATTTTTAAAAAAAATAAAAGTGCAGATTTATTTTTTTTAAATGCTTCTGATATGATACATCACTTATGAGAAACAGAAGGGCGATTTTTTCTTGAACCAAGTGTTTTGGAGACTTTAAACATGATCATAAGACGAGATAGTTCATAATCATCTTAGTCCAGTAATAAAATGTGCGATAGACATGAAAGTAATTAGTGCTGTTGATTTTTTCACCTTCAGTATGTTTTAAATGTGCTTTATAATGCTTCTAACTGGTTTCAAGTCAATACCATAACTAATCCAACCTTTAGAAGCATCCTAAAAATTTGAGGGTAATAGTTTACCTTTCTTTGATTATCTCTCTCTATTTTCTCATGCACTCAACTATTTGATTTAGGGATTCAACGGTATTTTCAGTCAATTCATGTGGTTTTAATGGTATCTTTAGTCAATTATTATGGACTCAATGGGTATCTCTAGTCAATTATTGTGAATTTAAGACTCGGTTTCTAAGACCAAGATATGTACCTTTTGGATTCAAAACACTCCACTTCCCCTCACAGCATTAGCTTGATTATGAAGACTAGTTCTCACGTAATGAATGAACCAGGCTCGACATCCTTGTTTCTTTACTTTTTCTTTCCAATAATCGCTGCCCAGCATATGAGGCCCTTGCCTAGTCTCTATTCCACTAATTCTACAGAGATATTGGACCCAAATTCCCGACAAACAGAGGGGTTACTTGTGTCTTTCAATTGAATTCAGATTTATTTGAAGGAAATAAATAAACCGCTTAATCAGTAGAGCGAGTAAAAATGGTGGTCAACGGGTACATACCTCGTCGCTCGTTTGGTCCACAGTGTAGCGCAGAAGAAGAGCTCCTCTCCGTCGTCTCCACCCCCGCCGCTTCCAGGTACCTGTTGCAGATCGAGGCGAGGGTCTTCGCCCTCGGCCTGCACCAGCACCACCTCATCGCCGCTAGGCTCCTCGCTCTCTGCTGCCGGCGCCGCTCCTCTCCTCCCTCCGCCGACTTGAACCACGCGCGCCTCCTCTTCCGGCAAGTATCCCTCCCGAGCATCTGCGTATGGAACGCCTTCCTCCGGGTTCTTTCCGGCGGCGGCGCCCTACCGGAGGAAACCCTAGCAGCGTTCGTCCTGATGAAGAGGGCCTGGATCAAGCCCGACCGCTTCACCTTCCCCTCGCTACTCAAGGCCTGCGGTGCTCTCCCTGGCTGGCCCCTCGCCGGCGGCGCTGTACACGGCGAGATCCTCCGAACGGGGGTCAAAGGCGACCTGCACGTCCACAGCTCCCTCATCGACATGTATTCCAAGAACGGAAGCCTGGAGAGTGCAGTCAAGTTGTTCGACGGAAGGTCGGATAGGGACGTGGTCACCTGGAACAGCATGGTGGCCTGCTTCTTCCGCAGACAGGAGGTGGCGAAGGGGAGGGAGCTCTTCGAGAAGATGCCGGAGAGGAACGCGGTGAGCTGGAACACGGTGATCACTGGTTATGCCCAGAATGGCCGTGCTCTTGAGGCGCTGGAACTCTTCAGGAGGATGCAGCTCCAAGGGTGGCGTCCCAGCGAGGCAACTCTCGTTGGCGTCCTCTCCGCTTGTGCTCAGGCGGGGGCCCTTGACGTTGGGAAGTGGATCCACCACTACATAGATATAAGCTCCATTGGTATGGATCTCAAGCTGTCGAATTCCCTGATAGACATGTACGCCAAAGGGGGGAGTCTGGGGAATGCTCGGAAGTTGTTTGATGCAATGAGAGATAGGAGCGTCGTCTCCTGGAACTGCATGATTGGTGGGCTGGCCCTGCACGGCCATGGCGAGGAAGCAATCCGCCTATTCGGCGAGATGGAGCGAGGAGGAGTGTGTCCCGACGAGATAACCTTTGTTGGCCTTCTCTCTGCTTGTGCTCATGCTGGGCTGGCGGAGGAAGGGCGATCGTATTTCAATATAATGGAGAAGGAGCATGGAATTGTGCCTAAGGTAATTTCGATGCTCTCTCCCGTCGCCATCGGCATCGATCTGGTTCTCGTTCAAGCCGCTGCTGAGGATGCCACCGTTTGAATTCTTAGGTCGAGCATTATGGCTGCATGATCGACATCCTTGGCCGCGGGGGATACCTAGCAGAGGCTCGAGGACTAATCAAGATGATGCCCGTCGCCCCCGATGCCGGCGTCTGGGGTGCTCTCCTCAGCGCCTGTCGCAGACACGGTCGATTAGATCTCGCCGAGGATGCTCTAGTTCATCTTCTCGAACTGGAGCCATGGAATGCTGGGAACCACGTGCTCCTCTCCAACATGTTGGCAGCCAGAGGCTGTTGGAGCGAGGTCGAACGTGTCAGGCTTAGGATGAAAGCAAGCTACATTGGGAAGACTCCCGGTTCGAGCTCGATCGAGATCGACAGATCGGTTTGGGAATTTGTTGCCGGAGACCGGTCTCATCCGCGATCGGAGGAGATCTATGCCACATCGAAGGAGCTCGGCGTGTTGCTGAAGCTCGCGGCTCATGCGCCGGAGAGGGAATCCGTCCTCCACCACGTCTGCATGGAGGACGACGAGCATCTACTGGATCGAGGCCAAACTCACTACGGTTACGACTAAAGAGAAGAAACCTGAATAAGACTCCTCAATTGACCTCGATCGAGATTCATCTCATTGGCTTCATGCTCATCACGACGTACCTCAGCATCTGCGGAGACTCCACTGCGTACGTTGATGGAGGACTACGACAGTGAGCAGTGGATAGAGGAAATCTGAGGCAAGCCGATCGCCGCCGGAAGTGGGCGAAATCGGCGGCCGCCGGCAGTGGCTCTCTAGTTCATCCTCTTCCGGTCGCCGCCGCCATGACTCTGAAGATCGTGATGACGGTGGAGATGGCGGGAAAAGAGAGGTTAGTGGAATCAACCTCACACGTGCCGTACGTCATACGAAGTACACACACGTGCGAATGGGCATTAATTCCACAGATTTATTGATCCGCGAATCATAATAATGAAAAAACAAACTGTCGGGAGTTCGCCAAGGAAGAACAGTTTGGTGGGCCGGCGCTGTCGTGTTGGAGCTGGCGACGGCGGATCTCCAACGACCTGCCAGTTGGCGGTGACCGAAGTGAGAATAGGCATTCATTCACCCGGTCCGTCTGCGGGTGGTCGGCAGCAGGCCTCCCAAAAAGGAGGTGCCCGGAAGCTGTGCCTGAGAGCTCGCCACCTGTCACGATTGGGGTCGGACTCTTCTCTTAACTAAATAAAAGCGTATTTAATTAAATAACATAAAAATATGCGGGAGGGAGGAGAAGGAGAGAGCGAGACACATAGGGCTAGTACTGTGACCCTTTTGTGGGCTCATCACGAGCTCATCATGATTTATCATGTCAGAAAGAAAGATACTGTGATGGCAATCTGACGGTCCAGCTCGTCCTGATTAGGTAAGGCCCAAGATATTGAATGTTCCGCAAGGGCACCATACCGGGTCACTGCTCGGCTGGTGGAGGGAACAGAAGCCTCTTTCTTGGTCCTAGCGCCTGTCTCTCTCTCTCGCTCGCTCTGCAGCTCTTGGAAGTGGTGGGGAGGGGTGCGGGGTGAAATGGAGAAGGCGCTAACAAAGGTGGGGAGCTTTTGGATCGCCAAGAAGGCCAAAGAGGAGATCTCTTCCATCGGCGATGACCTCTCCGTGAGTGATTCGTCTTCGGCTTTGTTCCCCGCTTCTCTCTCTCTCTCTCTCTGTCCCTTCCCTCCGATTGTGCTTTCTCTGTTCATATTTTCGTTGCTTTTAAGTTATGAGGGGTCCTGACTCAGATCCACAAATGTTTTCGTCCTCGTGGATTTCTATCGGCCAATCTGGTTTGCTCTTCAGGGGGAATGTAGGGCCAGCAAGAACGCCAATGAGAAATGCATACGCGGATTGATAAGCTTTAAAATGGCGACATCTCTGATCACTCTCTGATCAGCGCTTTGGCGTTCGTAATGTGGATGTATCTGACCTGAGTCTGATGGGACATTTCTGTTGTTAATCTATGGCGAAGCTACACCGAACTATTGCTTTGAAGGTTGTGGAAAATATTAAACAACTCTAATTTCTTAAATCACGTGGTGGCGGAGAGCTGTTCTTGGCAAAATTGTCTCTCCTGAAAATATCAGCTATTCAGTTTGATAGCATGAGCTTTAATCTCAGATGTAAATTTCTGTTTACGCTTCCTGTGAAAATGATCTCCACTATGGATAATTTTATAATCCTTGATGGGTGGTGTGGATTAGCAGACTACAATAGCGGTAGGTAGAAGCCTGCTAAGGATACAAGGCTACTGTAGGAAATGAACTGTAGAAGCTTGAAACCCACTCGCTTTTATGGAAATATCATGCTGCATTTTGAGGAATTGTCATTCATTAGTTGTTCATCTTTTTTTGGCTTCAATGGCCACTTGGAATCTAAAACAAATATTGATTTGGTCTACACATTTTATGGGAAATTCCGAGTACAAAATCACTTTAATTTTGTTTTCCTCAAATAAGTATAATAAAGATGCGTCTGGTGTTGTTCTTATCAGCCATGTTTACCTTGGGAAGTCAATGCCACACACTGAACCAGTGTAGGGTTGGTATAATCGGGGGCGTCTCTCCATGTCCCTTGGCGTTTTTCCTGGACATCTGTCAGCCAAGGTGGAAAAGGAGTGAATAGTTCTGCTCCCTGCTGTGGAATTGGTGCTGCCTGAAGAATCCATAGGTGTGTTTGGACAAGGGAAATACTGGGCATCAACAATTATTGTAGAGCTATCTGACTACAGTACTCTTCTTAGGTGGCTTATGATGTCTCTCTGTCTGATTTATTACAAGGTCTTTTATGTGTAGTGTTTTGAAGCTCAAGCATTCTTCTAGTCAATCATCTTTAAGTTCTGAATGCAAGCTGTATCGTTTTTTTTTTTCCCCCTTCAATCAGGCTATAAAATTTCTTAAAAATTATTATTATTTTATTAATTTCACTTGGTGGGGTCATGCTATTGAAGGGTTGTCTCGAATATGCAAATGAACCTCGACTGATGTTATTCCCTCATGGTTTTGAACCTAAATTATTCTTCGGGATTTTAATCTCCTATTTAATTTATTTATTTTTATTTAAATTTATTGATGTAATGGCTACTACTGGCAGCGTTTCTCGGGCACTGTCGAAGAGAAGGCGAAATGGGTCTTTGACAAGTTAAAAGGTTCGAACCGTTTGATAATCTTGCAGCTCTGTTCTGTGGGTTTGGTTCCCTATCCATAATAATTCTACCATAAATAGGAAGTTGAATCGATACCAGAATCAGTTTTCTTCTTTCGGCCTTCAATGGCCTCTTTTCAGAGTTTCTCCGTGAAAATCATGATCTGTATATGTTCATGATTTGAGGAAGCTCTTACAGTCCGAGATTATCTGGGCCCAACGAGGGCGAACGATTTGAGTCTCACAACGAATATATGTATATATATGTATATATATCTGCTTTCTTTATTTGGAAATTATGACGTTCAGGGGGAGGAGCTCACCAGTTTTCATCTGTCATCTTCCGTCTTCGATCTCCAGGGAAGCCTCGGAAGTCCCTGCCGGAGCTGCTGCGGGAGCACGGCTTGCCGGCGGGGCTCTTCCCCCGGAACGTCACCTGCTACGAGTTCGACGCTTCGAGGGGGAAGCTGGTGGTGCACATGCCCGCCGCCGCCTGCGAGGTCAGCTTCAAGGACGGATCCGTCATAAGGTACGCCGGCCGTGTGAAGGGGACGTTGACCAGGGGGAAGCTCTCCGGCGTGGAAGGGATGAAGACCAAGGTCCTCGTCTGGGTCAAGGTCACCCAGGTCCACGTCGAGGGCTTCCGCTCCGACAAGGTCTGCTTCACCGCCGGCGTGAAGAAGCTCAGACCCAAGGACGCCTACGACACACCGAGGGAAGCGGTCAACGTTGACGAATTCTGAGGTGATGGGTTGACTATAAATTGCTCCTTTCTTCCCATCTTCTTCTTCTTCTTCTTCTTCCTCCTATTTTCCTCCTCTGTCATGGTGTACTTGATTATTATTCATGACTCTGTTGCTGATGAAGATATATGTGGTCTCTCTCTCTCTCTCTAGCTTTTTTCTTTTGTTTACTTATTTTAGTATGGGATTTTAGGTTTGCCGGCGGTTTGAAGTTTTGAGCCCGGGGTGTGTTAGTTTATCCGAGCTTGAGTGATCTCAGAGTCTGGCCCGAAATGGGAACGGACCTATGCTCGAGTAATCTTAAGTCTTCCTTGGGGAGAGGTTTTCGGGCTTTTCCTTGAACCTGAGGCCGGCCCGGCCCGGACCAGCATGAATGTACTAATTTCGAAATATTGTAAATTGGATAATGCTATATATCATGTGCGAAATCGTCGTAATTAACTAATTTTCCAAAAGAGGAAGGACAGCATGAACGGGGGTGGTATTGAAGGGAATTTAAGTATGACATGGGCTTTTATGAAAAATTCCATTCATGGAAGAGAGGGGGCCGTGGTGAAGACTTTCCATGCTACGCCCTCTATAAATAGTAGAGCATTGCTAGTGAGGGGAGGTAGAGAGCAGAAGAGAGAGAAATGGCGCAGCGATGGGCCCTAGGGGGAAGCGGCGGGGGGAGAAAGGCGGCGGTGCTGCTGCTACCACCGGTCCTCTTCCTGTGCTTCCTATCAGGACTCGCTTCCGCCGGTCTTCATGTCGTGGGAGACAAGCAGCAGTGGCGCGATGGCGTCAACTACTCGGAGTGGACAACCCGCAGCCACTTCTATATTCAGGACTGGCTCGGTAAGCCTCCGATCCTCCGTTATCATTTCCCATCTTAATCTCGAAGCTTTCAACGGGATCTCACCTGCTGTTCTTCGATTGATTTCGCTGGGGTGAGCAGTTTTCTACTTCCAGAAGGGGATGTACGACGTGGTGCAGGTGAGGAACGAGTCGGCGTACAACCAGTGCCTGGCGGGCGATCCGGTCCTCAACTGGTCCCGCGGACACAGCTTCGCCATGCAGCTCAACCACACCGGCCGATACTACTTCATCTGCAGCCGCGGCTACTGCTACGGCGGGATGAAGTTCTCCATCCTCGTCGAGCCCCTTCCCCCGCCAGCCCCGGCCTCTCCCCCGACTTCAACGTCGGAGTCCACTGTCCTTTCCTCGTTCTGGTCTTTGGCCGCCGCCGCGGCGACGGCTATAGCCGCATCGGTTTGATCACTCCGGGGTCTCAGCCTTCCCTTTTACCTAAAAAGTTAAGGTAGAATCCATCAGGTAGCCAGTAGAGGAAGAATCGGCTACATTGACGAATGTTGCCGTCTTCTACAGCCTTTGCTTATCCTATGAATAGAACTATGCGATCCATCCATTTCTGTATGATCAATTCTTCCGCAACGCTCCCTGGACAGAATTAATCGTTCCTAGCTGGTTCATCCATGCTGTTGAGGCTGTAGAACGAAGCCGGATCTCTCCTCGATCTCCCATCATCATCATCATCACCGAATCACTAGATCCATGGCCATTCTCGCCCTTACTGATGGCATGTTTACGAAGGTGCTCATCCTTCCAGTCCTCTTGTCTCCGTCTCCCGCGCAGACCGCGGTAACCGGCTCCCGAGGAGGTCGTTCTCGTCGCCCCTCTGCCATCGCAGCACGAACCAGGCCACGACGGTTTCAAAAACAGCATAAAAATAAATTGTTTTTATTTTTAACCCCTATAAATTATTTAATTACTAAAATAGGTACGTTCACTGTATCCGAACCATCGTCCCATGACCGTCCATGTTTGAAAATGAGGCCCAAAACTTGAGTAATTGGGCCTCCCTCGGTGGACACCAGGCCACTATTATGCAAGACTATGATAACCCGCGGGGTAGGGGAAATCTCTATAACCGTCCACCGAGCGGGTCACGGAAGGGTTTCAGTCGTACGAGTATATTGCAGGAAGGTTTCTGGGGTTCTTCACCGAAGGGAAGGTGAAGGAGGTGGGGAAGAGAGAGTGAGAGTGAGAGGGGAGGTGAAGATGGCCGTCTCCGGGGACCCGAAGCTTCAGCTCCTACTCCTGCCGCCGTTCGCATCTCATCTCAGGTCTCCTTCTCGGTCGGCGTTCCATCTGCCCTCATCTTGCTCCAAGGTAAGTTTCTCTACCGATCTGTCTTCCTTCTCCTCGCTATATCCTTTCCCTGTGATGCGGGAGGTCGTGTTCGGTCTTCTAGGTAGAAGATAGAGGCCATTTCATTTTCTCCTCCCCCCCGCCGCCGCCATTTCCTTTTACGATGAGGTTGTCAGTTCGGCCGCATTCCTCCGATGCTTGAAAATTTTATCGGTCGATTCTCTTATCCGCTCAGTTGGTTAGTTTTCTAAGGTGAGAAATCATCGACTGCGTTCTAGGGAATGTTCTTCTGAAAATTTTTAAAGTCTTCTTCTACTCGATCACGAATTTTGTCATTTCCGGGAGAAGTAAAGTAGATTGGATCGGGCTGATTCCTAAATTCTCCCGTAGATGATTACTCACCTGGTGCATGTCTTCTACCAGTGTCGGATAATGTAGATCCAGTGGAAGAGTGGTAGGAGGAGGAGTATGAACATGGTGAACGTTATACTCTGACAATATTTCACTGCGAATCTTGTGGTACCCTTTTTTTCTCATGCTCGGTAGTCCAGAGGATTTGCTTGGTGTTTGCTTGGAGAGAGAAATTGATGTGAACATGAATGGTATCTGGGCTGGTTTGGCTCTCATGGAAACATCTTTCCAGTTAAAATTTATATATTTTTTAATGTAGGCTGTGGAATTGTGAAAAATGAACGTGAATATTCGATTTTATGGAAATTATAATGGCTGATACTCTTACAAGGGGATGTCTGATAAATAGCCCCCCACATTGTGAACCATGCAGCTTGATTCTCCTCTGCTAATTGTCCATGGCACCTATCCTTTCATCTGCATTCCTCTCTGTTCTTAGAAGGTGGCAGCAGAAAATCTTCTTCATTGCTCCAGACTTCAACGGTCATCTTCATCGATTTAGCTCAAAAATCTACTTCTCCCATGTACAATGCAGGTGAGATTTGGCAGCGGCAGGGCGTCCCACATCCCCTTCATGAGAACCAGATGCCGCTGCTCCGTGATTGGGCGAAGAAACCAGTTTCACACGGCAACTGCTAAGCAAGAGACCGAGGGCTTCATCCTTAACGCCGTGGCCATGAATTTCTTCGAGCGGCTGCACTTGGCCTGGCGGATCCTGTTTCCCACTGCTATGGCGAGGAGCAGCTCCAATGCAAACATTGCGAAGCAGCGGCTGAAGATGATTCTCTTCTCGGACCGATGCGCAGTCAGCGACGAAGCCAAGCAGAAGATCCTGAGCAAGATCACTGATGCCTTATCAGACTTTATTGAGATCGATTCTCAAGACAAGATCCAGCTCAGCGTTTCGACCGATCTTGACCTCGGCACTGTCTGCTCTGTGACCATCCCCGTGCGCCGGGTCAAACCCGGGTACGGTGACGACGACGAATACAGAGGAATCACAAATGTGGAGTACATGGACACTGGGGATGAATCTGGCTTGGTCGACGTCAGGTTTGAGTTCTTCATGCCGGGCGAGGACTCCTTTGGGCTGTGATCTTCGCATATTTTGGGCTCTTACTATACATTTTAGGGTTCTTCTTCCTTCAGATTCAGTCCTTGATGAACATATGAGAGTTCAAGCTGCTGCATCTATCCTGACTGCAACCATGGTTTGTATATAGCTGATGTTTTTATCATTTGACTATATTTCTCAGAGATTTTTCGGATAATTTGTGGATGCTTTTTGGGTCAACGCGGTCGCATTCTTACCCTAAAATCGCCGGTTTTTGTAGGGTTTTATCAGATGCTGAAGAAGGAATGGCCATTGTATGTCAGATCATGTAGGGCTCCTTCGGGGCCTGTTAGAAAAGGGTATTAATGAAAATACGATACTTGGCGGTGTAATTTTTCAGTCGTAAGTTCTTAGAGGGATTAAGTAAAAGTGTAGATAAATAAATTTGTAAAGGGTATGGGTAAAATATTATTTTTATCGGTTGATATTACAATACCGGAAATATTCAAGGATGGAACATAAATTGTAGCCAACCGGAGGAGCGGGGAAGGGAATGAATAACTTGTGTATATAGCCTTGTAAAAAACGTATATAACTAATAAAAAGGGGTTTGCTCGTTTTAATAAAGTGTAAGAAATTATGGGGATTATAGTGGATGAAATTACAGCCTGTATAGATAGGGTGGACGTGGCAGGGTTGGGTTTCCTCTTGGGGTTCCACACGTTCGGGAGGGGACGATGCTCGCCATCGCTGGCACGTGTGCCATCCCTTCTGCCCATCTCCGAGCCCGCCGTCCTCGCCGCCGGAGGCTTCCGCCGTCGGCGAAGAAGCCGGACCTCCCCGAGGCGGCGCCGCCGGCGAAGAACTTCATCTCCCGCTTGGTACCATCCAAATCCCTCCTCGCCAGAGCCTCCGTCACCGTCTTCGCTCTAGGCTTCGTCGATGCCGGGTAATCCCCCAGCTCTCTCTCTCTATCTCTACGTCGTATTGGGTTCCATTCTTCTGGCTCCCTCACGGTTTACTGTCTCCGGGGAGGTGGTCAGGTACAGTGGGGACTGGTCGCGGATCGGGGCCGTGTCGAGGGAGACGGAGGAGGTGCTGAAGGCTGCGGCCTACGTGGTGGTGCCGCTCTGCGTCTTCCTCATCATCTCCCTCTCCAGCGACAGGGGAGCCTCCGACGGGGATTGAAGAGGGTCTTCGCCCTGGGCCGCAGATGAGTAGTCGGCTTTGAGAAGTATCCGTTGGGGCTGTTCCCGCTCTCTCTCTCTCTCTCTCTCTCTCTACAATGTTGAGCTTGCTTAAATCAATCGTGCGTACCGATGCAGTAAAGGCAGCGTATGGGCAGTTTAGAGAGAGAGAGAGAGAGAGAGAGAATAAGCATAGAAAAATTTGCAATCCCTGAAGAAAAAGCCGACAACCTTGGGTTATATACAGACCCGAAGACGATGTGTCACGCAAATGAGGAAGGAGTCAACGGAACACAAGAATCGCAGGAAGATGGAAATTGACCAGCCCAGGGCACGCGCCGCCCAGAGAGGTTCTTGAAGCCCTCAAGATCAAAGAATGGCTTCAAGAACGGTCTCCAATCGGTGCTCCGGATCTTCGGGGTGCCGAAAGGTGGACTTTCGATCAAAGTCAAAGTGAGCCCAGATGGAACGCTGCTATAATTGTATATCGAGAGCAAGAATGCATAGTCTGATAAATACGAAAGAAAAGAAGCGTACGTTGACTACTGGGGGAACCATGGTATAGGGGAGACTCTCTCGACGTCAACGGCGGACAAAGTAGCGGGTGCCGCTCATTTTCTTTGCCAAAATTGCTAAGGTCAACTTCTAGACCTTGCTAGCGGTGTGTTTTTCATCATGGCCCTCATAATTTTCCAATGAATCTCTAGCTGATTGTGGGGGGAGGCTCTGACTTGTAACTATTAGATTTGACTCCGGAGCTAATTAAATACAAATTAAAGAGGGTAAAAAAAGTACAAAATTCATGATGATTGGGGGTAGATAAGATCTCACCAAAAGAGCATCTCTCGAAACATTCGTGAGAAGTTCATAATTTTTCTTAAGTCGGTCCTCGTGAACATGCAATGGAGCTACTAGTTGGAATGAATACGTACTAGAAACTTTTTGGGTCTTCTCTACAATGTTTGTCTTAAGCCTTTTATTTTATAATGCTTGGAGCAGATTAATACAAGTTTGCCATCAATATCTATCTAAGTAGTGGGGTTTAGTACTGCTTAATAACAATTGTGAAGAGTGGTATTGTGCCTCAGTTATTGCTGCATGAATTCCTCAAATCGTAAAAGTTTGATTCATGTCCCATTTAATTATTTATTTTTAAAAAAAGGTTGAATTAGGTTATGTAGAAGTAAAAATAGATGGTACAAAATCTTAAATATAAATTATTTAAGCTTGTCAAACAAAAAAGCTTGTAAATTCAAATGGGGCTAGGTGAAACACTATTAGAGGGGGGATGAATTAGATTTCTGTGGATTTTTATCAATTTTCTCATTTTGTACTTACTGATAGATTTGTTGACATAGATTATCTCATGGCTCTATGAAATCTAGTATGCTGCATTTCAAGATTAGTTGTAACACACCCAAAATTAATTAATGTCAAGGATTAATATTTAGTCATAAGATCATGAAACCATTAAACATCACACATGTTGACTAATTTTAGAAATATTGAACATTTAGCACAAGCCATCATCATAATATTTAATAAATAACATTTCAAATTTTAATATTAAAACCAAGGGCATCAGCAAATCTTATCTCTTGTGTAAATAAATAATGGTTAAGCGCTATCAATATTTACTATAGTGACCAATTAATATCATTAAATAATAGATATAGTTAATATATCTGTCTTTATTTGACCTTCAAGGTTGAGAATAAATTAGAGCTTCATATGATGGTGTTGATGCATTGTAAAAGAGATTTTTTTACTTTAACTAAAATGAGAAAATCATTTGAAAATTATCTAGAACATGCAGAAATTTAAACAAAGTATCATAAACAAAGGGCCAACTTAATCTAATTCAATATTAATATAGACCTTTCATATTGTGTCATGTTAAAAAGAATCTATGTTAGCGTAAATAAATGAAGGAATTAAGATAATGAATAGAGTTAATTATTCATGGGATTGCAATGAGTAACAATGATGTTCTAATTAGGAACAAAGAATGACATCTTAAATAAGGTAGATGAATAAAAAAATAATTTTGAAAATACTTGTGATGTGAAATACCTCTTAAAATTAATTTAATCTCTTCTTATTGTTAATCATATCATTTTTTGACATACTTCCAAAATATATTTAATTTATTATGTTTAATAAATATTTAATTAATTTATTTTAACAATTAATTATGAGCAAAAGTGTTTGTAATTTTTTTAGAGACAATATTAGATTGCATTCTTAACCTATCTTGGTTGTGGAAAACCAATATCTAGATGAATTCATATTTACTGAATTTTTTTTGGACATTAAATTTTATATCAAAATTATGAAAATTTGATTTATAACGATTTGATACAATACTTACTCTAGTCTTCATGTATATTGTCATTTGGTTTCATTAATTCAATTTAGTAAACGATTACCAAAGCTTTAACTAGCTTCTAAATTTATGTCTCTTGATGGCCAACCAAATTAATAGATAATGTGTCTTTGTCTTGGAGTAGGTAGGAGAGATATAAAGTTAATATCTTGTTGTGGTCAGACAATCCACATTAACAAATACAAACTTGCAAATGCCACATACATCGGGATCCCCATTATGCATATGAGGTTTCATCTAAGAGTGATGTTCTGGAACACCTTTTTTTCTAAGATGAAAAATAGTGAAAAGAAGATTCACTTATCAATGTAATGCATATTAATACATTACTTAAGAGGTGAGATTATATATCACTGATGTGAACGATAGCAAGATCCAAGCTTGAATCTACAATGCACATATTTAGAAAAGAAATCAGATTGTGAATTCATATAATTAGAGACTTTAATCCTTGAATCAATAAGATAAAAAAATAAATATTTGAATTATAAGGAATACTTGAATTCACAAGTATAGAGGGGGGGGAGGGGTAACCTCATAAGAGATAAGAACTCATAATACTTCAACTCTATCTTTTAAGTTATAGTAGGGGTCTTTATATAGGTCTAGAAAGAAAGTAAGACATTCTTGAAAAGTAAAATAGATATTGAACAGATCATGGGGATATGATCATAGAAAAGACTATGATAGGCTCAAAAAAAATTCAAAATAAATTCTAAAATGATACAAAATAGACATTTAAAAGGATCAAAATATATTTTATAATAATAAAAGGTGGATTTTCATATTTTACGAGGGGCTAATTAAGTTATGGGCCATCTTTTAACATTCTCTTTTTTATGTATCAATTCCAAAGTAGTTGGGCCTCTAGTTTTAGGCTCTTCTTTATCTTTTAATTTTTGAGTTATATCTTGAGAGAACTCTATTTACATAGTTTTTATTCAATATAATCACTCTAATTTGACTTTTTTAGAGTCCAAATAAATTAAAAACTTTAATTTTTTAACTGAAACCTCTAATATGAAAATCAACCTTAAAAACAATCTTGTAAAGTGAGTGGAGAAGAAGAGAATACAAACCATTGATAAAGAACTAAAAGATCCTTACTCCCCCTCCTATTATTCATCATAAGAATTAAGGATAAAAGCATATTAACCTTGTTCTTTTCCACAACTATGAACTAGCCACTTCCTCATTGGCAACCTAAAAGCTACAAGACAAGAACAACTAGTGCCCTTAGCTAGTAACTCTAATAGTTCACAAAAAAATAAAGAAAATGAGGGTTTAGAGAAACTTTTGATCTTAATGTGGAATAAGTCTTGAACCTAAAACATTCTCACTCCAATGTGTTTTCTACATGCCTTTCCTGAATCGTCAGCACAAAATTAATTTATATTATGTGAATATAAAGAAAAGAGTAGATAACAAAAAAAAGGGGAGATCATTAGGCAAAGACATATTTTTTTTATGAGGAAAGAATGTTCCTTTTGCTTTGCTTTGATTATTATAAAATATAGTAACAAGTAATAGGGAACAATGTTACTGTAAGATATATTTCAAATAGTTATATTTTTTGACAACAATGTAATTGGTAAGGTGAATGAAAATAATAAATAAGATATAATTTAATAAAATATTTTTATTTTAATTATTCATAAATTATGCTAACAAAATGTTTTAGCTTCAACCATTTAAACATTATAGTTAATGCTATTTTTGTCTCCTTTTCATTTAATGATTAGATGAAATATATTTAAATTAAAAATTTAGTCAAAAACATAAAAAAAATATATCACTTTAGGTTACATAGGTAAGTTGATACATAAATAGACATCCATATATATATATATATAGTGTAGAGAGAGAGAGATATGGGAATAGAGGGGTGGGTAAATCAAGGATTAAGATTCTTTCCAAGAGGTTAAGTTTGCTTTTCATGAAGTTGAAGGGGTATCGAATCTAATTTTCCAAGTAGTTTCAAAGTACTCACAAAGAAATCAAAAGATGATAGATTTATATCCCTAAACCATGCCATTTGTAAGCACAATAATTAAGTGGTCTTAAAACATATTATGATAAGAAATTAAAGATGAAAGTTACAAATAGCCTTACATAATATATAAATTCAAGTGACCCTTTTTATTAAGCAATGTTCCATGGTAAAGTCATAACATAGAGGTATAGTTGTATTTATAAAATGAGAGTTTTCTTTCTTGATTAAATTTTGTCTGCTTTAACTTTTGGTATCTATCAAGTGCATAAAAAAATCATCAATTTGTCATGAATTTGCCTTTTAAGGGTCATCACTTTTTTGAATTCTTCATTTTTTTTAAGGAGTTATGATCTATCATTTTAATAGGCATAGATGCTTTTGCAAATGAAGAAGGTCTTGACCTTATCAACATGGATGAGATGCTGGTGGCTCTTTTGCATGGTAACTTGCTTAAATGCTCTGCTACAATATTGGAGGCAGAGTTGTTATCTATTTTAATTGACATGGAAAACCAATTGGGTTGTTCTCAATGATAGAAAAAATTAGAGGGACTTCTAATGGACTCTCATTTATTTCTCTCTCTCTTCTTTCTCTATTTAAAGGGCATGGGTATGGGAGAAAG